GCCAACCCTCATCATACTTTACTTAAACCCAATGGTCAGCTGGCATAGAAAACCAATGACCTTAGCACAAATGCCACTGTCTTTACCTTTTGTTTCTTTATGATCTTGAAACTCACCGTTATCAAGGCAGCAGATATCAGCCAAATGTATTATTCATGAAATGCAAAGGGTATTATGTGTGATGGTAATTTGTTAGAACATTCATGTAATTACAGTTCGTAAATACCATGTCTTGTTTTGAGGTGTTTTTACTTATGCACGACTATGCTAAGGAGGGGGGGGTGGTCCAACTCGAGGTGTCTCATTACACTACGATCAGAGCCGGCTGCAGAATATGATCAACTAGGGGTAAATCAGATTTTCAACATTTTATGTTATATTTATAATTATATCAAATATATGCAACGGATTTTCCACCAACAGGTTTCTGTGCCAATGCACCACACACAACCAATAAGCAATGAATAACTGCATAACGATTACCGCATTCGAGCGCTTATCATCGTGGTTTGCGTTTTCAACACCACAATCAAATAGAGTATGTCAATCTCGACAAACAGAAAATACATCCCTCCCTACTCAGTATCGAAGGCTTGGTTTGGCAATCTCCGAATGTCATTAAACTTTTTTGTGTTTTGTAACAGATTTCTTTGCCGTTTTGTCTCTTTCCGTTAATCAAAAGGTTGTTGCGCAGTTTGGATGCTGGAATTAAATTAGAGTGGAGTGGATGAATGTGCGCAGGTAGCCTACAGGATACTTTTGAAGTAGCCTAATCAGATTAAAACATTGTGACTAGTTGTGTTTATGCCACACATACATTTAGACTATATTGAAGCATTAGGTTCTAGGTAGAGGAATAGCCGCTATGATCGGAAAGGAGGCAGAACGCTTGTTAAACTTTCCTGAATAACTGGGCCTGCTGGGAGCCTGCTTTCAGAAAGTATTCACACCCCTTGACTTTTTCCACATTTTGTTGTGTTACAGCCTGAATTTAAAATTGATTACATTGAGATTTTGTGCAACTGGCATACACACAAAACCCCTTAAAGTCAAAGTGGAACTATGTTTTTTTACAAATTAATTACAAATGTAAAGCTGAAATGTCTTGTATAAGTATTCAACCCCTTTGTTATGGGAAGCCTAAATATGTTCAGGAGTAAACATTTGCTTAACAAGTCACATAATAAGTTGCATGGACTCACTCTTTGTGCAATAATAGTGTTTAACATGATTTTTGAATGACTACCTCATCTCTGTACCCCACACATACACTTATCTGTAAGGTCCCTCAGTCGAGCAGTGAATTTCAAACACAGATTCAACCACAAAGACCTGGGAGGTTTTCCAATGACTCGCAAAGAAGGGCACCTATTGGTAGATGGGTAAAAATTTAAAAAGCAGACATTGAATATCCCTTTGAGCATGGTGAAGTTATGAATTACACTTTGTATGGTGTATCAATACACCCAATCATTACAAAGATACAGGCATCCTTCTTAACTCAGTTGCCCAGAGAGGAAGGAAACCAATGGTGACTTTAAAACAGTTACAGAGTTTAATGACCATGATAGGAGAAAACTGAGGATGGATCAACAACATTGTAGTTACTCCACAATAATAATCTAAATGACAGAAGGAAGCCTGTACAGAAAAGAAGGAAGCCTGTACAGAATAAACATATTCCAAAATATGCATCCTGTTTGCAAAAAGGCACTAAAGTAATACTGCAAAAAATGTGGCAAAGCAATTCACTTTTTGTCCTGAATACAAAGTCTTATGTTTGGGGCAAATCGAATACAACACATTACTGAGTACCACTCTTCATATTTTCAAGCATGGTGGTGGCTGCATCATGTTATGGGTATGCTTGTCATCGGCAAGGACTAAGGAGGCTTTTTAGGATGAACAAAAAAAAAGTGGAATAGAGCTAATCACAGGCAAAATCCTATTAGAAAACCTGGTTCAGTCTGCTTTCCACCAGACACTGGGAGACAAATTCACCTTTCAGCAGTACAATAACCAAAAACGCAATGCCAAATATACACTGGAGTTGATACTAAGACAACATTGTATGTTCCTGAGTGGCCTAGTTACAGATTTGACTTAAATCGGCTTGAAAATCTATGGCATGACTTGAAATAGCTGTCTAGCAATGATCAACAACCAACTTGACAGGATAATGTGCATCTATTGTACAATCCAGGTTTGCAAAGCTCTTAGAGACTTACCCAGAAAGATTCACAGCTGTAATCGCTGCCAAAGAGGATTCTAACATGTATTGACTCAGGGGTGTGAATACTTATGTAAATGAGATATTGCTGTATTTCATTTTCAATACATTTGCAAAAAAAATTATAAAAACATGTTTTCACTTTGTCATTATGGGGTATTTTGTGTAGATGGGTAAGAAACAAAATCTCAATTTAATCCATTTTTAATTAAGGCTATAACACAAGAAAATGTGGAATAAGTCAAAGGGTATGAATACTTTCTGAATTCAATGTATGTGGCCACAGGATGACTTGGGAGAATGATGATCGGCAACAGACAGGAGACATCAGTATCACAAGTAGAAATACAGCCAGACTGCTTCTGTGCCTTTCTAGAATCTATCAGAGTAGACCCAAAACTGAAACAAATGGAATGAAACATTCAAATAACAGGGCTTTTACGCCATTATTCAAATGACATTTTCACTGCAGTTTACAGCCTAGAGTAATAGAATTGTACTCACTTGAAAACAATAATGCAGTTATTCATTGGCTTGTGGTGTTGTAGGCTTGTCTAGGTAGGATAATTGTATTGTCCCTAAACAAGATCAATAGGGGAACTTTTGGAACTGTGTGTCTTCATGAATGAATGACATTTTATTTTTTGTGTGAAATGACAAGTTGGCAACGGGATCAATTGACACATCAATAAATATTACAATAATTCACTTTGATAATTCAGTGATAATTTTTACGGTGGTCTGTGCAGTGCGCACCACATTAAAGAGTGAAAAATAAATCACTACATAATAGTAAATAAGGTTATCCAAGCAATATTTATAACCATAGAGCAGTAAAAATAATAAATACAAATAAATACAGATAAATAAATACATGTCCAATGACTCACCTGGCCTCTCCGCTGCCTATCAGCTATTCCTCTATCTTGTGGATATATATTGAAAATGTGTGCAGATTTGAATGATTTTATCTGTGGTATGATTGCTAGTTAGCCTATTGCAGATCTGAACAAACGATCCACCTACCACTATCGTCACTATGAATGGTGGATAGAGGGCAGGATAGACCTTAGACTGGTAGACTATACTGACATGTGGTAAAGTAAGCGCGCAGAAAAGCGTAATGCATAAGGGAAGTACTGATGATAATACCTTTGTACTGATGATAATACCTTTGTACTGATAATAATATCTTTGTCCATTTGGTCTTCTATTCATCAGTGTCGATGTGAAATTAAATGTTCACCTGATGATAAGTTGGCTGTCGATAAGTGTTTGTACGATGTAATTACATTAAATTTGCCTGCCTGGCTGAGTGTAAAAGGTCAATGGAATTTATGCTGATCTTTTTCATCTGGCTGATGTTCATGCACTTGTCTTTGTTTTCTTTGTGTCCAGTGAAGCTTTACTCTAACGCTTCTGAAGTAACTATTATTTCAGCAGGACACGTGGAGGAAAGGATAGAGGAGTGACCTTTGTGAGGTTTACTCACTGTCTGGACCTTTAAAGCTGACATTGGTGGTGGCCTGGTGGTCGTATGTATGACGTCATTTACTTCAACGTTTGGAGTGACATCATATGTACGGCTGCTAAACTGCTACATGGGACATCGTCAATATTCCGAAAAACTCTCTCAGACGAAAAAAATAAAAATCTCCCCCCTCATTCCTTTTATGTTTGTGTCTGTAGCTCAGTATGCTTTAAATTGTCAGGTAAGACTGATGTACTGTTCCCAGGAGAAGGAAAAGAACGCTCCAAAAGTTAAACAGGAAGAGATTACAGTAATTAAAAAAGAGAGAAAGGGATGAGGGAGGAGGTTAGGGTGGGTGGGAGGAGGGAGGAGGGAGGAGGGAGGAGGGAGGAGGGAGGGAGGAGGTTAGGCGGGTGGGAGCTGTTTGCGAGCAAATCTCTCCAAGCTATTGTGTTAATATTTATGTAGAATTAATTAAAGTGTGGAAGTGGAGAGAGAACAAGAGAATAAGAGAATAAGAGAGAGAGAGAGAGAGAGAGAGAGAGAGAGAGAGAGAGAGAGAGAGAGAGAGGAGAGAGAGAGAGAGAGAGAGAGAGAGAGAGAGAGAGAGAACAAGCCACGGTGCTTTGAGTGGCTAAATTCTCAGTAGAAATATTAGGAGAGGTGAGTCACACTCACGGCGACATATTGGACACAGATGCTATTAGAATCTTGATTTCCTTCTCGTCTTTGTGCAGCGAAGTGTTATCTACATCAGCGTTGGAGACGAGACGAGCTCCCATGGTTTTTTAAGCTTATTTTCCAAACCACACAATAGGAGAACGGACAGGATCAGAGAGATGCTCTTGTCCTCTTCACATAAAAAAATCAACCCCTTTTTATAAGTTATTTTGTGAGTTCTCAAATGCATTTGACTGTGTGGCGGGAAATACATGAATGAGTCAACCACGGTTTGACAACACTATCGATAGAGTATTCGTAGGTTCTTGTATGCTAGTCATCTGGAACCACTTCAATACACGTTTCAAGTACAGCATTGTGACTCTCACTTAAGAAAAGCACAAGATGATACTCTATTTGTCTATTGCTTTAAGCATGAAACACCAGTGCATGTGGGAGTATACTGTCAATAAATCGCTCTCACAATTCTCACAACACAATACAAATTGATTCAGCTCAGTGCAATTAGTTTCAGGGCAGCACAACCTAAGTGAAACCTACACATACATCACTATCTAGTCACTTAGGTGTTCAATAGCTATATTGTGGTAAGATGAAGTGGTTGCTGTGTCTTTGCAGAGCGGAACTGTTGCCGGGGAGTCCAGCTCTGAGCCTGCTAGCCCAGACACATCTCTCAGGCCTGTCCTTACCATAATGGAGGATGAGAGGCTGACCATGACCGAGGGTCAATACAAATGTCTTGAACTTTTCCGCCGAAACCAGCAGCACAACAGAACAGGTGAAGCACAAATCACTCATTTGAAAGTACAAAAATTGATGTACCAATCCCAGATTGCCCCTTTAATCTAATCACACTACTTACTGGGAGACTGGGATCTGATTACTGGAGCTCTTTGAGAAAGCACTAGTGTTGATGCTATGACCTTTGTTGCGTAAGTACATCTTAGTGGATGGATGTGTAATCAGTGCTCCCTTGATGCTATAGGTAACAGAAATGCTGTTACCTGGACTTAAAGGAAAATTTCACCCAAAAACTATATTTTGGTTTTTGTTTCATTAGTCCATTGTTGACAGTCGCAAAATGTTTTGCTTGTCACCAATCAAGTTTTCAAGATAGTATGTAACTTTGAAAATACATAAATAATTCCCATATAATGCAAAACGCAGCATCATATGATGCAAAATGCATCATACGGAGATGATTTCTATATTTTGAAAGTTACATATCTTGAACATTTGTTTTCCTTTAAGTGTAGTGATATATGCCTATAAAATACTTAAACTCAGTGATATAGGCCTATAAAATACTTAAATGCAGTGATATATGCCTATAAAATACTTAAATGCTGTCACGACTTCCTCCGAAGCTTCCTCCTCTCCTTGTTCGGGCAGGCTTCTGCGTTCGTCGTCACCGGCCTTCTAGCCACTGCCGTTCCTCTTCTCATCATTCCATTTGTTTTGTCTTGTTTTTTACACACACCTGGTTCATATCCCCTCATCAGTCCCTATATAAGTATTCCCTCTGCCCCCCATGTCTTTGTGTGTGATTGTTTCCATGTGGAGGTGTCGATAGCTCGGTGGAGCATTATGTATTTTATCGCTGTGATATTCACCCGTGTGTTTTGTTTTTGCCGTTAAGTCGCACTGTAGTTGTTTTACGCATTGCTGCGAACCGCTGTATTGGCCGAATAAACCAGACTTTGCCCTGGAGTTTAGAACTCTAGCGGCTGGGTCCGGGTGGAACGAGCGGGCCCTCATCGACCACTTCCGATGCAGCCTGCGTGAGGATGTCCGAAGGGAGCTAGCCTGCCGGGATACCACGTTGATCTTCAGCCTACTGGTGGACATGGCCATCCGGTTGGACAACCTGCTGGCTTCGAGAGGACGTCCTGGAAGGGGCCTGCCCGTTTCACCCCCCTTCAACCCGGATCACGTTCCGATTGAGCTGGGTGGTGCAGCGTTCCGGGAGAACGGAGGATGACAGCTCCAGTGTCACTCTTGTGGCAAGAGAGGACATTCTGCTGTACGATGTCGTCAGAGTTCTTCTGGTTCTGGAGACGGCAGGCAGGGCACTCTCACGTCACCCCAGGTAGTGCAAACCCACACTCGTTCAGAGCCCTCTGCTGCGCATTTCACCATCCACGTCAACTTCCCTGATTACACGGTAGTTCCCCAGTGTAATGCGCTGGTAGATTCAGGCGCAGCTGGGAACTTTATGGACAGGTCTTTAGCTCTTAGTCTATGTATTCCATTGGTTTCCCTGTCTATTCCATTACCCATCAAAGCACTTGACAATCGACCATTAGGGTCAGGTTTTGTTAGGGAGGTTACAACACCAGTCACTATGATTACGCAGGAGACCCATAATGAGCAAATCACGTTTCACATTATTGAGTCCCCTGATTTCCCTGTTGTGTTGGGCCTTCCCTAGCTAGCACTACACGACCCCACCTTTTCATGGCCACAGAGGGCTCTCACAGGGTGGTCACGAGAGTGTCAGGGTAGGTGTCTAGCTGTTTCCGTTGGTGCGAGCATGGTATAAAGTCCAAACAATACCTCCACCGTGCGCATTCCCCCCGAATACCTCGATTTGGCGCACACGTTTTCCAAAACGTAGGCGACCAAATTACCACCCCATCGGGCGGGGTATTGCGCGATAAACCTCTGGTTAGACGCTGTGCCGCCCACGAGTCATATATAACCCCTGTCGCAGGCGGAAACGGAGCCTATGGAAACATACGGTTACGAGTACATGTGTCAGGGGTTCATACATCCCTCCACTTCACCCGCCTCCTCGAGTTTCTTTTTCGTGAAGAAGAAAGACGGGGGTCTGCGCCCTTGCATTGATTACCGTGCACTTAGTAAAACTACCATTCGCTATAGTTATCCTCTACCCCTCATTTCCTCAATGCATGGGGCACGCTTCTTCACGAAATTAGATCTCAGGAGTGCATACAACCTGGTGCGTATGCGGGAAGGGGACAAGTGGAAGACAGCATTTAGCACAACCACGGGGCATTATGCATACCTGATGATGCCGTACGGGTTGATGAATGCTCCTTTGTGAACGAGGTGTTTCGAGACATGCTTGGTCACGGTGTGGTGGTCTACATCGATGACATCCTGGTGTATTCCGCTACGCGCGCCGAGCATGGGTCCCTGGTTCGCAGAGTGCTGGACCGACTGTTGGAGCATGACCTGTATGCCAAGGCAGAAAAGTGTCTGTTCTTCCAACAATCCGTCTCCTTCCTCGGATACCACATCACCACCTCAGGTGTGGAGATGGAGGGAGACCGCATTTCAGCCGTGCACAATTGGCCGACTCCAACCACGGTAAAGGAGGTGCAGCGCTTCATTGGCTTTGCCAATTACTATTGGAGGTTTATCCGGGGCTTTGGCAAGGTCGCAGCTCTCATCACCTCTCTGTTGAAGGGTGGGCCGTCCCGGCTCCGCTGGTCTGCTGAGGCTGACAGGGCTTTCAGTAACCTGAGGGCTCTGTTCACCTCAGCCCCGGTACTGGCCCATCTCGATCCATCATTGCCGTTCGTAGTGGAGGTGGATGCGTACGAGGTAGGGGTAGGCGCTGTCCTATCCCAATGCTCGGGCACGCCACCCAAGCTCCGCCCCTGTGCCTTCTTCTCTAAGAAGCTCAGACCGGCGAAGCAGAACTATGACGTTGGTGATCGGGAGCTGTTGGCTGTTGTCAGAGCCCTGACAGCGTGGAGGCACTGGCTCGAGGGGGCAAAACACTCTTTCCTCGTCTGGACTGACCACCGTAACCTGGAATACATCCAGGCAGCGAGGAGGCAGAACCCTCGCCAGGCCAGGTGGACCTTGTTCTTCACCTGGTTCGATTTCACGCTGTCCTATATACCAGGCACAAAGAACGTGAAGGCAGACGCACTGTCACGGCTGTACGACACAGAGGAGAGGCCCATAGACAACAGCCTCATACTCCCGGCCTCCTGCATTGTGGCGCCGGTGGTGTGGGCGGTGGACGCGGACATAGAGCGGGCGTTACGCACAGAGCCATCTCCATCTCAGTGCCCAGCTGGGCTGCGTCTAGTGTCCGTGATCGTCTTATCTATTGGGCACACACGTCTCCCTCCTCTGGTCACCCAGGCATCGGCCGTACAGTGCGCTGCCTGACCGGGAAGTACTGGTGGCCTACCTTGGCTAAGGATGTGAGGGTGTATGTCTCCTCCTGCTCGGTGTGCGCCCAGAATAAAAAACCTAAGCACCTTCCAGCGGGTAAGTTACAACCCTTACCAGTTCCACAATGACCATGGTCCCACTTATCGATTGACTTTCTAACTGATCTTCCCCTCTCTCAAGGGAACACCACCATCCTGGTCGTTGTGGACCGCTTCTATAAAGCCTGCCACCTCCTTCCTCTGCCCGGTCTCCCCACTGCCCTGCAAACTGCGGAAGCCCTGTTTACTCACGTCTTCCGGCACTACGGGGTGCCAGAGGACATAGTGTCTGACCGGGGTCCCCAGTTTACGTCTAGAGTCTGGAAGGCGTTCATGGAACGTCTGGGGGTCTCGGTCAGCCTGACCTCTGGGTTTCACCCCGAATCTAATGGGCAGGTGGAACGGGTGAATCAGGATGTGGGTAGGTTCCTGCGGTCCTACTGCCAGGACCGGCCGGGGGACTGGTCGGTGTTCTTGCCATTGGCCGAATTTGCCCAGAACTCTCTCCGCCACTCCTCCACTAACCTATCACCATTTCAATGTGTTTTAGGGTATCAGCCGGTCCTGGCACAGTGGCATCAGAGCCAGACCGAAGCTGGACGATTGGTTTCGGCGCACGGTGGAGACATGGAATGCCGTCCACCTCCAGCGCGCCGTGCATCGCTAGAAAGCCAACGCTGACCACCACCGCAGTGAGGCCCCGGTCTTTGTACCGGGTGATCGGGTCTGGCTCTCGACCCGGAACCGGCCCCTCCACCTGCCCTGCCGGAAGCTGAGCCCGTGGTTTGTGGGGCCATTCAAAGTCCTGAGGAGAGTTAACGAGGTTACGTATAGGTTGCTGCTCCCTCCTGATTACCATATTAACCCCTCGTTTCATGTATCTCTCCTCAGGCCGGTGGTGGCTGGTCCGCTCCAGGTGTCTGAGGTTTGGGAGGTCCCTCCGCCCCCTCTGGACATCAAGGGGCCCCTGGCGTACTCCGTCCGTTCCATTCTGGATTCAAGGCGTCGGGTGGGGGGCATTCAGTACCTCGTGGAGTGGGAGGGGTACGGTCCGGAGGAGCGGTGCCGGGTCCCGGTGAAGGATGTCATCGATCCCTTCCTGTTGCCGGATTTCCACCATCGCCATCCAGCTCATCCTGCTCCATGTCCTCCTGGCCGTCCCCGAGGCCGCGTCGGCGCGCTGCTGGAGCTGCGCGTCAAGGGGGGGGTACTGTCACGACTTCCTCCGAAGCTGCCTCCTCTCCTTGTTCGGGCAGGCTTCTGCGTTCGTCGTCACCGGCCTTCTAGCCACTGCCGCTCCTCTTCTCATCATTCCATTTGTTTTGTCTTGTTTTTTACACACACCTGGTTAATATCCCCTCATCAGTCCCTATATAAGTATTCCCTCTGCCCCCCATGTCTTTGTGTGTGATTGTTTCCATGTGGAGGTGTCGATAGCTCGGTGGAGCATTATGTACTTTATCGGCGGGATATTCACCCGTGTTTTTTTTCCACAGTGCGCCGTTAATTTGCACTGTAGTTGTTTTACGCATTGCTGTGAACCGCTGTATTGGCCGAATAAACCATTATTCTGTGATTTACACCTCCGTCCAAATCACCCGCTACAAATGCAGTGATATATGCCTATAAAATACTTAAATGCAGTGATATAGGCCTACAGAAAACTTAAATGCAGTGATATAGGCCTACAGAAAACGTAAATGCAGTGATATAGGCCTATAAAAGACTTAAATACAGCGATATAGACCTATAAAATACTTAAATACAGTGATATAGACCTATAAAATACTTAAATACAGCGATATAGACCTATAAAATACTTAAATGCAGTGATATAGGCCTATAAAACCACCATAGCTAAATGGATGGAGCATCTCGGCTATTATGGAAAGTGCTAGACATGAATCGTTAACACATGGTTCAGCAATAGGGAGGTAGCCTGAAGTGTTATTAATGAACAGCTAGCTATAGATATTAAAAAGTAATTCTCCCTGATGCAGGTGTGTTCTGTAGTCGTATGTGGGATGGCTTGTTGTGTTGGAACGAGACTCCAGTGGGGAGCTACGCCACACAGAACTGCCCAGACTACCCCAGCCTGGACACCTCTGGTAAGACCACACACTGATAAATGATCCAATCTCTGCAGAGGGAATTGGCCAGGCCACAGGTCGATTATAGAGATGATAGGGGTGACTAGAGGTCATTTTGACCAATAGTCTCTATAGGAATGACAATATAGCATCTTTCTGCACCTGCTTTCACTCGAGTTCTGATGTAGGATCAGTTTGCCTTTTAGATCATAATGAATAAGATTATATGGTAAGGAGGGACCTGGTCCTAGATCTGTATCAAACAACAATCTAGGATCAGGTCCTCCCTGTCCCTGTAATCTTATTGAATGTGATCTAAAAGGCTAAATTGATCCTAGATCAGCACTCCTACTCTGAGATGCTTTTTGAATACAGGCCCTTATCTGACCAATCCGACCAGTAACGCAATGACTGCAATGAGAGTTGGACTAAAGAGCGTAGAGTATATACAGTGTCTTTCAAAAGTATTCATACCCCTTGGTGTTTCTCCTATTTTGTTGCATTACAACCTGTAATTTAAATGGATTTTTATTTGGATTTCATGAAATGGACATACACAAAATAGTCCAAATTGGTGAAGTGAAATTTAAAAAATAACTTGGTTCCAGAAATTCTAAAAAATAAATAACGGAAAAGTGGTGAGTGCATATGTATTCACACCGTTTGATATGAAGCCCCTAAATAAGATCTGGTGCAACCAATTACCTTCAGAAGTCACATAATTAGTTAGATTGCACACAGGTGGACTTTATTTGAGTGTCACATGATCTGTCACATAATCTCAGTATATATACACCTGTTCTGAAATGCCCCAGAGTCTGCAACACCACTAAGCAAGGGGCACCACCAAGCAAGCGGCAACATGAAGACCAAGGAGCTCTCCAAACAGGTCAGGGACAAAGTTGTGGAGAAGTACAGATCAGGGTTGGGTTATAAAAAAATATCTGAAACTTTGAACATCCCACCATTAAATCCATTATTAAAAATGGAAAGAATATGGCACCACAACAAACCTGCCAAGAGAGGGCCGCCCACCAAAACTCACGGCCCAGGCAAGGAGGGCATTAATCAGAGAGGCAACAAAGAGACCAAAGATAACCCTCAAGGAGCTGCAAAGCTTCACAGCGGAGATTGGAGAATCTGTCCATAGGACCACTTTAAGCCGTACATTCCACAGAGCTGGGCTATATGGAAGAGTGACCAGAAAAAAGCCATTGCTTAAAGAAAAAAATAAGCAAACACGTTTGTTGTTCGCCAAAAGGCATGTGGGAGACTCCCAAACATATGGAAGAAGGGACTCTGGTCAGATGAGACTAAAATTGAGCTTTTTATTTCACAATAAAAAATATTTTGCATCTTCAAAGTGGTAGGCATGTTGTGTAAATCAAATGATACAACCCCCCCCAAAATCAATTTTAATTCCAGGTTGTAAGGCAACAAAATAGGAACAATGCCAACAGGGGTGAATACTTTCACAAGCCACTGTAGATTGTTATCACTGGTGATGCAACAAGGTTTTTTAATGATGTCACCCTTTTTTGGTTCGGTTGAAGCCAGCTGTCTTGGAAAGCTTGGCTGGGTTTTATGTACAGAACCGTTGATTAGCTGCTGGGGGATGACCGGCTGCTGGGTTAGCGTGCTTACAGAGAGGGAACATTGTGATCTCAGGCATTATCGAACAGGAGATTCAACTCACGCTTTAGGGATTAGAGCAGGGAAGAGTTTCCCTAAGTCTGTTATATTAAAGTATTGTGTGATGCCCATAACTTACATCTTAAGCTTTGGTGGTAAATTAGTTGAATAACAAGGAGCTGGCTCTCAGTGTTATGGAATAACAAGGAGCTGGCTCTCAGTGTTATGGAATGACAAGGAGCTGGCTCTCAGTGTTACGGAATGACAAGGAGCTGGCTCTCAGTGTTATGGAATGACAAGGAGCTGGCTCTCAGTGTTATGGAATAACAAGGAGCTGGCTCTCAGTGTTATGGAATGACAAGGAGCTGGCTCTCAGTGTTACGGAATGACAAGGAGCTGGCTCTCAGTGTTACGGAATGACAAGGAGCTGGCTCTTAGTGTTATGGAATGACAAGGAGCTGGCTCTCAGTGTTATGGAATGACAAGGAGCTGGCTCTCAGTGTTATGGAATGCAGTCATGCTCAATTGAGTAACAGAGTACCACTTAAAGGGGCAATATGCAGTACAAACAACATGAGAGAAAAAACGACCCACAGGTCACAAACTGGTTGAATCAACATTGTTTCCACGTCATGTAAAAAATGTTGAATCAACATGAAAAACGTATTGGATAAAAAAAAAAATAGTATATGTAAGGGAATTTCGTATTTTTTTCACCCAACTTTTAACCCAATGACATGGTGAAATATTTTGTTATTTTTACATTGAATTCACGTTAGTTGATAACTCAACCAAATGTTAATCAAAACTAGGCTTTGAACTGACGTCTATGCCCAGTGGGTAACTATTGCCTCTACAGTTGATATTACAGTCCAGTCAGCTATAGCAGTGGCTTCATATATAGCACCTATCACACTGATGGATTCAACAGCTGCCAAGTCACCATTACTCATCGCGGAAATTATATCGCTAACAATTAACGTTACCATTCATTTATTTTGTTGTTGCAGGAAAAGTGTCAAAATATTGTGATGAATCTGGTAATTGGGTCCAAAGTCCCTTCATTAATAAGACCTGGTCCAGATGTCTGAAGTTCTCGAAGGACAAATTAAAGGTAATTGGAGATTGATTCGTTCTCAGTTGATTAATGGACAAAACGGTACAGGTCTGTGTGGGATGGTCAATGCATCCCAAATGGCACCATATTCCCTATAAAGTCCACTACTTTGGACCAGAGCCCTATGGGCCCTGGTCTAAGGTATTGCACTATTTAGTGAGTAGGGTGCCATTTGGAACGCAGCCTGGGTGTGTAGGCAGGACCGCAACAGCTCTAGTCAAACTATTCTTAATCCTTATTCTGTTTGTGTTGTCGGTCTGTTGTGTTTCCTGGTTATTATTCCTTTGATAGTTTAACGCCATAACTAGAGCCAGGAGGTTTTCCTAGTCTGGTCTCTTGATCAGGTACAACTCTTGGCCCCGCCTACCCATTCTGTATGTTGTCTGTAGTGTTTTCTGCTTGTTTTTAAAATGTTTTCTACTTTACTTTTCTTCTATTACTTATTTATTTGTATTTTTATAATCACTGCTACTGTTCGCTGTTGACAAATAGAAATCCTCCTGCTGTATTCTATCTGTGTGTGTGTTTCTTTATGGTGTCTGTCCCGTTACATGTTGTTCTTCCCCAGAAGGTGACTCTCCATGGTCTGCTAGAGCCAGGGTCTGTGGAGCACACTGTGGAGACTCCAGTCAGCCAGAAGGTGACTCCCCATGGTCTGCTAGAGCCAGGGTCTGTGGAGCCCACTGTGGAGACTCCAGTCAGCCAGAAGGTGACTCTCCATGGTCTGCTAGAGCCAGGGTCTGTGGAGCACACTGTGGAGACTCCAGTCAGCCAGAAGGTGACTCCCCATGGTCTGCTAGAGCCTGGGTCTGTGGAGCCCACTGTGGAGACTCCAGTCAGCCCCAGGGTCAGTCAGGAGGTGGAGGAGAGGAAGAAGATCATCGACGGTCAATACAAATGCTTTGAGAAGATGAACAGAGACCAGCCTTATAACAAATCAGGTAGTGATGATGTGCGATACTCTAATACTGCTTTCACATAGGATTTATGGTATTTTGCCTGTACTTTTTGGGGGGCATTTTTACAATTTCTACAAACATTTTGCCTGCATAAGCCTTTCATACCTCCCATGCACATGCTGGCATCCTGGTGAGGAGTTGTAGTAGTGGTGTGCAGATGTGGGTGGGCGTCTATTTTAATAAATCCATTGAGAAAATACACAGGTCCTAAGAAACATTATAAGACTAATCAAATTTATTTTCAAAAGAATAGAATGCCATATTTTGAATTTAATTATGTTACTGGTCTGTGCAGCCTATATGGCTGCAGCATGCACTTGAAATCAATAGTTATTTTGTTAATTAAACAGACAAGACACACTTAGGCTAACCTGATCACAGTCAACACATATATTTTATAGTAGGCTAAGAATAAAATACGAATAATATTTTTCCCACACAACTTGCGTCATGGCAACGCATGGAACCGCTATCATATAAAAAAAGGTGATATTTTGAAACAGGGCCCAAGGCAAGCCCATGCTTTTTTGATCCACGTTTCATCTCTTTCCTACCCTCACTCTGCCTTGTTAGGGAGCAGGCATTAGGGTCTTACATTGAGAGTATCTTCATCATGATACCCATGGAAAATAATATAAATAAAATAAATCTATATTTTCAAAAGCATGTGAATCTCCTGTTCATATTTCACATCCTCGGCGGGCTTTTGGAGTTACCTGTACGCGATCTAGCAAAAATAATGGCCTACACTTGATTTAGGCTACATTATTTGACTCGGTACCGGTACCCCCTGTATATAGCCTCGTTATTGTTATTTATTTTATTGTCTTACTTTTTATTCATTTTTTTACTTTAGTTTATTTAGTAAATATTTTCTTAACTCTATTTCTTGAACTGCATTGTTGGTTAAGGGCTTGTAAGTAAGCATTTCACGGTTGTATTCGCATATATGATTTAATTTGATTTGATGCTAAATGTTTCTGATCAGTGATAGAGGACCAAATGAGCTATACCACCTCCTCTTATTTGCCCAGCCAGAGAATTAACCAAATATACAGACGGAGATTCAGTGAAACAAAATCACATTGATTGATTGAGACAAGTCACAGGCTTTTTGGTCGGGAGTAGGCCTAGGCTACTAAATGACTGCGAGTGAAGAGCAAAATAATCCACTTGTAAAACTACATAACATGCTGGCAAAATGTTTTGATCAGTGCTAATAAATGAGCCAACTAGACAAGATGATTATGAGCAGCCCTCAGCTCAACTTGGTTAACATCTCCACAGCCTAATTGTAAACTAACCAACATCCAAACAAAGATTCAGTGAAAATAAACATCTGACATTGATTGATTTGATCAAGACCCCAGGGTTGTCTCAAAGCAGCGCTTAAACAGTTGACCACAAGTGGGTAGGCTATTGTTTACATTGTATTATAACAATATTGGATGACTGGGCAGTTTCAGTAAGCAACAAGTTGATGCCTTCCATTGCATTGGCCTACTTTATTCCAGTATTTTCCTAATTCAGTGATTATTTATTCCCACAGTAATTCTTTATGGATCCGTCCAGTTGTGGTTAAGAAAGTCATGCATGTGATGGGCTTTGGGAAGAGATGGGTGAAGTGACTTACATGCCTTGCAAAGTTTAGAACTGCCAAGGAGGATTGTAGTAACAGGCGCTGCTTAGCAACCACCTCGAGTTTAAGAGCGTAGTGCGTGCCAAAATGCCGCCTAAGCATTACGGCTACATTTCATAGTAGGCAGAACTTTACCTCAATCATGACTAGGTCGGTTGCCGGAAATAAAAGTAGAGGCTTTGTATCCAGCAATACCTTTCATATATAAAGAAAAGTCGGCAAAAAGTTGACGGGATGCTAAAGTTGGCAGAAAAACGTATTGGTTTAAAAGGTGTATCATAATACCGACTCAGAGTGTGTGATTATTCCAGAATATAATTAGAATAGAATACTTTTCACAGTCACTTCAAGGTTACAGCACACAATCAGAAGAACCCACAAAGACAGGTACGGTCACAATGTCACTGTGCAGAATTCCGATAAACATGCTATTCCAGTAGACAGATGACAGACGAGTGTGGCCAAATGGTTCATGTAGCCTACAGCTGGTTTCACTAAGCTAAATTACGTAGTGTATTCACAGTGAGTCTTCATTAGTGTGCTGTGTCTGGTTGTGTGTTGCTGGCGGTGCAGGGCTGTACTGTAACCGGACCTGGGATGGCTGGCTGTGCTGGGATGATACACCTGCTGGGACAGTCACCTGGCAGAACTGTCCCAACTATTTCCCTGACTTTGACTCCACAGGTAAGGCCTGGCTATAGGAGGTGTTTGTTTATGTGACCTGTTTGTCCCTATGTGTGTGTGTTTGTTTTCAATGCTATTTTTTACTATGTCAATTCTGCATTTCTTTACTTTCTGTAAACTACAAGCAAGAATAAATAAAGTCAAAGTTCTGGTTGGTCAGATGCTCCAATGCTGACTTGTTAATACATTTTGGATCATTTTAATTTAAAACAATAACAGTAAGGTACTTAATTGTTACCCAGAAATGATTTGATTTGACATAAAAACAGCTGCAATTGGACCTATAATTCAATATTCATGGTGTCTAGTGGTTGCAAAGCTTATGGACATGTTGCACAGTTTAAGTGTTTATGTTTAAAGGTCAACTTTGGGCTCACAAAACGGTCCAACTTCGCCTCTTTCTCAATTTTCAAACAAAAATGGGGTGTTAATTTGGTGGTTCATCGATGTGTCATCCTGGTCATGGGCGCCGTGACCGACGTAACTAGTTTGTTAGCTAAGCTAGCCACTTGTAGCTAGCCAGTAACTCCCCTGTATGTGTTAACGTCATTTCACAGGATTTGTTTTTGGACGGAAGCTGTAGAGATCGATAAGAAATGGCACTTCTATAGCCAAATATCTCATTCATAATTTTTTATTTAATTTTTTTGCATTAAATTACCTGGTATGATGGTGCATTGATCAGTTATACAGTTTAAAGCTGTTATTTTTGATTTTTTTGTCCAAAGTCGACCTTTAAGTGTTAGACTACCATAGACTACTTTCAGGGGGAGGAACCATCTAACATCAAGTTGTAAAATAGTGAACTACTCCTTTAAGTGTCTAAGTTTTAAACATGTTTCATAGCGTGTCATTAGTCCTACTTGATTGTTTCATCAGAAAAAGCTACAAAGATCTGTAGCGAATCAGGACAGTGGTTCCGCCACCCAGACACCAATAGGACGTGGTCCAACTACACCCTGTGTAACTTCCACACTACAGGCAAGCTGAAGGTAAGGGTTGTAAAGGGGTGATCCATCAATCCCATTTATTCATGCTATTTTGAGCATACTCTTGATCCATTTTACAATCACAATAAGGGGACATTATGTCAAGGGGATAATACAGGTATATTCAATGCAGAGGAGGTCATAGAGGGAACAATTGGTCAAATTAAGCTAGATATGGTAAATATGGTACAGTAAATGTACCAAAGCTTACACTTGATTACATTTTACAATCATGATATATGGAGGAGGTCATAGAGGGAACAATTGGTCAAATTAAGCTGGCAAAGATTTATATTTCTGACCAGTGAGTAGTAGTAAAACTCCTGACCCTAGCAATGGGAAACAGGCAGGGCCGGTTTCTTAAATCAATCATTGACATTTTAGTCATTTAGCAGACACTCTTATCCAGAGCGACTTACAGTTAGTGAGTGCATACATTTTCATACTGGCCCCCCATGGGAAACAAACCCACAAACCTGGCGTTGCAAGCGCCATGCTCTACCAACTGAGCTACAGGGGACACACATTTCTAATTGATTTATAAAGCCCTTTTTACATCAGCAGATGTCACAAAGTGCTATACAGAAGTGGGACATCATGAGGACACAAAGAACGCTATGAACTATTTGTCTACATCAGTGTTCACCAGCCTTTTCTGAGTCAGGATCTCTTTCTGAGTCAAAATACAAGCCGAGATCTACCGCTCAGTTAAAAAAAATAAACATGACTTGAAAAACAAGCCTATGCAACACTAACCAATTAAAAACAGTTCTGGAGCAATGAGGTTTGTGCAGTAGGCTATAGGCCCAATACATTATCACTGCATATTGGCTATGCTTGAATTGCCCATGATCTTCTCAGACAATTTTGAAATTATATTTTACAAATGTAGGTATATGATCACACTGGTAATAGATAATTTGTTTTATTACTTGTGAGGCACAGCTGAGTGAGCATAATCATATTTCTTTTTTCTACTGGGCTGATGGCCTGCATCTGATGATCAGCCTGAGGGGAGGGAGGGAGCAGCAGTGAGGCTGCCTCTCACCTGACTCACCGTCCCTCCGCTCTCCCTCCCTCCGCTGAGAAAAGGGGACACAGTCTTCCAGCTGATGGCGAAACTCAAGTCACACTGCATTATTTCTGCCTCATACACCATTTCCTGTTGTTACTCCTATGACCAGAGAAAGTGAAATATTCCTAGATATAAAAAAAGACACAAGCCGCTAATAATAACAACGCAAGCTTATCGGAACACTTTGCTATACTCCATGGTGCAGTGATGCCTGGAGAAGTGGGTATACTCTAATTCTGCCCAAAAATAATTAAATGGCCATCCCAGCGAAAGAAAGGCACCCTGTGTGAAAAATGCTATGAGAAACAGTGACATACACTCTGAAGGACTTAAAATGATAAATCCCATGTTGGTCTTTCACAGTCAGGCCAACCCAAGCTGTGCTGTACTGTGCAAGTAGGCTAATCGTAGGCCCACTATTGAAACAGAAATCAGAAATTCACAGGTTTCAGATTTTTCCCAATTTTTTCAGGTTTTAGCTCTCAAAGTCACACTTTCTTAAACAACAAAATATGATGTTCTAAGTCCATAACAATGCTTGAACCACATCAGAAGACCAAGTTTGAGGTCTGGGAACAATCTAAGAAATGTTGATTCTTTAGGGTAGTTACCCTTTAATTCAAGTGTGCAGGCACCTATCACTGTTGTTTGGTTAGCTGTTTCTGTCACATGAGATGGAGTTTGCAAAAGAAATGGCAACTGGATTGATGCATATAATCATGATATCATTCTGACAGTTAGGGATAGGCTACTTTGTAGCTGGGAAAGCCTTTCCATCTACCAGAAGACGGTTAGGCCTATCATTAGCATTGCTATATTTGTCCTGTTCCTTAATTGTTTGACAGATTTTTATTTCATATTATGAGGCATGTCTTACCTTGCTTCAAAGTAGCCTATAGCCAAAATCCCACCATAGAAACGTGGAGGCAATTATGTTTTATAAAGACTTACTCATAATATACGTTCTCCTGTGCTATTGGTTTTCTTTCAACTTTCTTTAATTGTCTAGCAGCCAAAGGCATTATCCTAGTCATATTAGCAACACATGATAGTTGTTGCATCTTTAAATCCCTCCTCTTTCTAAATGTCTAATGGATATTTCCATCTCTGTCCATGAACCCGCTCTCATGTGCATTTTAGAACAGTGTTTTCCCGCAATTGCATTTTGAAAGGTTCACACATAGGCCTACATTGCTGCGTCTAAAATGTGAAGAAATAATAGTTTATCAACATTTTAAGCTAAACATTCTGATCTGTTCCATCAGCCTTATTAATTGAATCGGCGTATACTTCCACTACACTACTTTGATACATATCAGTGGGGATTAAGAAGTGAGTATACGCAATGCCCACTGAAAAATAAGTGGGTATGTGACATATACCTGCGTATACCCTCCACTACACCACTGACTATACTCATTCATTGCAGCTGCAGTGCTGGTTGTAGTGTGAGTGGAAGTAGGGAGAACGTGAATTATATGGCTTATAAAAGTGTTGAACAAAGTTTTGACAGTGCTGAATAACAACTTAAACATGAACTTACTCATAAAAACAGCAGCTCTTTGCTGTCTCTAGTCAATATCACAGTATCAACTTTGCTGTGCGTTCGAGGTTTCTTTTTACAGTCTATGGCTCGAGGAAACTGTGCAGACACAGTGATCTGAGCTATCTGATTGGCCAGCAGTAGACCTATACGTGCACTTGATTTGCTCTCTGGGCCTGCCGGGTAGGCAGAGTTCTACCTTCAGACATATAAAATGGTTAAAAATGGGAACACTTTGCCTTCCCGGCGCTAGGGCTGCTGAATCAAGTGCACCTGCCACCAACAGCTCAAAACTAATAAAAAAAATAGGAACGCAAGGCTTTATCGTTGTTGTTTTTTTACAGAAATGTTTGGTGATTGACTAGGAATGCCTTGGAGATTGACCAGTCGATCGCGAACAACCAGTTGGTGACCACAGTTCTACATGATAAATGGTTCAAGCGTGGCTTAGTCACACCATGATTAGAGTATGGATGAAAACCAGCTGTGCTGCAGATCTTAAGGACCTGATTTGAAATATCCAGGTCCTAAACCTTAAAGGGATGCATTGGGATTTTGGCAGTGAAGCCCTTTATCTGCATCCCCAGAGTCAGATGAACTCGTGGATACCATTTATATTTGAGCTATTCCTGTAGCCTTTGACATTGCGGTAACACTAGTTCATATTGGCTCGCAAACACTTCCTTCCTACTGGACATAGAGTCATAAAAATGGTATCCACAAGTTAATCTGACTCTGGGGAAGTAGATAATCATAATCATAATTGCCCAAATCCCGAAGTATCCCTTTAAGGTCCTAGTCTCACCCCTTTCATATTTTGTTTACATCAAGGAAGCAAATGGAAGTCAGGGATAATTAAGCAATAAGGCACGAGGAGGTATGGTATATGGCCAATATACCACGACTAAGGGCTGTTCTTATGCACAACGCAACGCGGAGTGCCTGGCTACAGCCCTTAGCCGTGGTATATTGGCCATATACCACAAACCTCAGAGGTGCCTTATTGCTATTATAAACTGGTTACCAACGTAATTAGAGCAGTAAAAATACATGTTTTGTCATACCTGTGGTATACGGTCTGATATACCACGGCTGTCAGCCAATCAGCATTCAGTGCTTGAACCACCCAGTTTATAATGGTTCATGAATGTCCTTGATGCACCACTGTATGGTCCTATTTGTTTGAATGTCCATGTATCTGTGTTTTCCAGATGGCCTTTATCCTGTACTACATGGCGATTGTGGGCCATGCCTTCTCCATAGCCTCCCTCCTGATCTCTCTGGCCATATTCTTCTACTTCAGGTAATTATAGATGCTGCTGTTGATTTCTTTATGAGACAAACTACTGGTTTGATTAGGGAGAGTATTCTGTCTTGGGATTCTCAAAGCTTTTTTTTTTTTTCACTTGATTAATAAATACTTCTGATGATGGTAATAATGATGACGATGATGATGATGGTGATTATGATAAAGATGAAGATGAAGACGCACCTAATCGTGATGAAAATGAGGATGTTGATGATGATAGTGGTGATAAAAATGATGAAAACTATGATAATAATGATGACTGTGATTGATACAGTTCAGATGGTATAATATATTTCTCCTAAGGATCTGAGAGTGCTTTATCACTCATCTTGTCATTATTCAACTGAAAAGATGGCCGTGTGTTTCCTCTGAGATAACTTAATTGTAAAGATGGCCGTGTGTTTCCTCTGAGATAACTGAATTGTAAAGATGGCCGTGTGTTTCCTCTGAGATAACTGAATTGTAAAGATGGCCGTGTGTTTCCTCTGATATAACACTGGCAGTGCGGACGTGTGAAAATGTAATCTTCACATTGAGGCTAAATGTGTTTCCCACACAATTATGGAAATCTTCTCAACGGATTGTGATTGTTACCTTTATACAACACTCTGGTTTCCAGTTTGTCATTTTCTGTGATTGTGTTTGGTAGCATTTGAAGGGAAGACGTATTGATTGGATAATATTGTTTTCTTTTCCTCTCCAGAATTTCTTAATATATTGTTTGACATTATGATTATCACACACTATTTCAAGTTTTAACATCTTTAGAAGCTGAACATCAGAAAATAAGCTTGGTTTGTTATCTGCATTGGATTATGGTCCTTGACATCCAGCCTACCCTCTTAGAAAAAAGGGTGCTATCTAGAACCTAAAATGGTTCTTCGGCTGTCCCCATAGGATAACCCTTTTTGGTTCCAGGTAGAACCCTGGTTCCAGGTAGAACCATTTTAGGTTCCATGTAGGACCCTTTCCACAGAGGATTCTACATGGAACCCAAAAGGGTTCGACGTGGAACCTAAAAGGTTTCGGCTGTGGGACAGCTGAAGAACCCTTTTTTCTAAGAGTGTAATGAAACTGAATCTCTCATATTTAGGAGGAGCAGTAACAGGGTCACTGAATGTTTTACTCATTCTGATACATATGGCCTTTCAGTTTCATGCTGGCTTATTTCAGTGTAACTACTTTAAAGTTCACGACCAAAGAACCATGAATTCAGGACAGTTTAAGGAATGTTTTAGTCATTTAGCAGATGCTCTTATCCAGAGCGAGTGAGTGCATACCTTTTTTTTGTTTTTGATTTTTGTTTTTTTATACTGGCCCCCCGTGGGAATCGAACCCACAACCCTGGCATTGCAAGCGCCATGCTCTACCAACTGAGCTACACGGGGCAGGAATGAGTTGGCTGTGCTCTTATTTAAGTGCAGGGCAACCTTAATGGTACTCCCTTACGGGTTCTCATTCTAAATATAGGTTGAGAGTACACACTTAAGGAGGAATTGCATATTAAGGAAAACTGCTGGGGAATTTCAATGGAATAGGGGTCAGAAAAGGTGATTACATCAAAGCTAATCACCTCAGAGCAATCCGTACATGCAAGTGCAAGCAACTGACTACCAAGATCTTGTAAAATAATGATTAGTCTTATCGAAAATGAATTTTCTTCAAAAACAGATTGCAAGGAAAAATTAGAGAAGTTAAGAGTATGTTGAAAACTTTACATTCTCCATCTCCCAAAAAAATAAGCAACAGAAAAAACGACACAATATGGCCATCAAATTATTCAAAAAAGACTGTGAAGAAATGTTTGATAAGCTATGAATATGTCCATACACTCAAAAAAAGTGCTATCTAGAAGCTTAAAGGGTTCTCCGGTTGTCCCCATAGGAGAACCCTTGAATAATCATTTTTGGTTGCAGGTAGAACCCTTTCTACAGAGGGTTCGTTCTATATGGAACCCAAAAGGGTTCTACCTGGATCAAAAAGAGTTCTACCTGGAACCAAAAAGGTTTCTCCTGTGGGGACAGCCGAAGAACCCTTTTGGAACCTTTTTTTCTAAGAGTGTATAACCATTAGGCCATTATCCTTGAAGAAACGTTATGGGGGATATAACTGCAGGAGCAAAAACAACATTTCTGCATCATATTGGTTAACACCGACTTGGGATAGTTCTCATTTGGCTCAGTTGCCAGTGTGGAAATTCAGAAAATGTGGACATTTGGCGTGTTTCAAATCTCAATGGATATAGCAAGTAGGGTGTTAACCAGCAAATGCAGCTGTGGGTCAACGTAGGTCTTGTAACAGACTGCAATGTTCCACAAAGTTTATACCTGCTCATAAATCTAGCTAAGACATAGTGCAGGTGCACATCTTAGATGCTGAATAGCTGCTATCCAAAACAAAAGTAAACGCTCAAACTACACTGTGTCTGTGTCTTGACAAGAATCAGATACAATACATCCTTTCTTGGCATTGTAAAGCGTCAATGGACGACCAAAGCGATCAGCTAATTATGACCTCAATGAAGTTTTAAAGATGGCAAGCAAATCATTGCTTTTAGGGGAACATCGTTTTTATGATCATGGCACTATATTTATAGGCTGATCCCTTTAAACCTGAAAGTCTTAATGTTGTATTATACTTCCCAGATGTGCAGTTTACAGTGGCATTTGACGCAGTACAGCTGCACTATCTTTTTATTTATGGCCTCCCCTTCAGCACTGCCAGGACTCGCTGATAAAAATACTCTGGCTTGCCGTGGAAAAGTAGAGTTGGGTTAGCTTTAAAAATATTGTATCACTGTGCGGTCTGATCCTGTCCTAATGCATACATGATGCTTGTTGTCATTAAATGGCTGTCTGTTTTGACAGAGCCTGTCTGATTAAAGGGTCAATGTACATGCGGTTAGCATTTTGGTAGTTCCTGCTTTTACTGTACCTTGCATGTCAGAAGTTGCCCTGACACTCCTTTAGCTTGTTTAGGTGTAGTCTGAGAACATCCTTACAGCATCTTCAGATAAAGAACGTTCTTCTGTCTGTTCTATTTTCTGCTTATCCTAGTTTGAAGATATTCTGCTAATACACTTCCTTCGTCCTTTTACTTGTGTTGGGCCATTTAAAGGTAGCCTCATTCTCAAAGACATCACACACCACTGACCCAGAACACGTCATTTTCTTCTTCTTCTTCTTCTTCTTCTTCTTCTTCTTCTTCTTCTTCTTCTTCCTTTCTTCTTCTTCTTCTTCTTCTTCTTCTTCTTCTTCTTCTTCTTCTTCTTCTTCTTCTTCTTCTTCTTCTTCTTCTTCTATAAACAACACATTTACAGCAAGACTGCTACATTAGCTTCCTAATGACTGGAGACAGATAACAGGACCTTGTTGCTGTACACAGGTTTGGCACAAGGTGTTTTCACTCCAGTAAACACTGTTTCAACCTATCTTTAATTGCTCCTGCTTGGCATTACTTTACTAACCTTTTATAGAAAAATAGTATCATTTGTTTCCACTGCCATCTCTCGTTATCTGTATAAAAGACACCTGTCCACACACTCAATCAAACAGACTCCAACCTCTCCACAATGGCCAAGACCAGAGAGCTGTGTAAGGACATCAGGGATACAATTGTAGACCTGCACAAGGCTGGGATGGGCTACAGGACAATAGGCAAGCAGCTTGGTGAGAAGGCAACAACTGTTGGCGCAATTATTAGAAAATTGAAGAAGTTCAAGATGACGGTCAATCACCCTCGGTCTGGGGCTCCATGCAAGATCTCACCTCGTGGGGCATCAATGATCATGAGAAAGGTGAGGGATCAGCCCAGAACTACACGGCAGGACCTGGTCAATGACCTGAAGAGAGCTGAACCACAGTCTCAAAGAAAACCATTAGTAACACACTACACCGTCATGGATTAAAATCCTGCAGCGCACGCAAGGTCCCCCTGCTCAAGCCAGCGCATGTCCAGGCCCGTCTGAAGTTTGCCAATGACCATCTGGATGATCCAGAGGAGGAATGGAAGAAGGTTATGTGGTCTGATGAGAAAAAAATAGAGCTTTTTGGTCTAAACTCCACCCGCCGTGTTTGGAGGAAGAAGAAGGATGAGTACAACCCCAAGAACACCATCCCAACCGTGAAGCATGGAGGTGGAAACATCATTCTTTGGGGATGCTTTTCTGCAAAGGGGACAGGATGACTGCACCGTATTGAGGGGAGGATGGATGGGGCCATGTATCGCAAGATCTTGGCCAACAACGTCCTTCCCTCAGTAAGAAGATGGGTCGTGGCTGGGTCTTCCAGCATGACAACGACCCGAAATACACAGCCAGGGCAACTAAGGAGTGGTTCCGTAAGAAGCATCTCAAGGTCCTGGAGTGGCCTAGCCAGTCTCCAGACCTGAACCCAATAGAAAATCTTTGGAGGGAGCTGAAAGTCCATATTGCCCAGCGACAGCCCCGAAACCTGAAGGATCTGGAGAAGGTCTGTATGGAGGAGTGGGCCAAAATCCCTGCTGCAGTGTGTGCAAACCTGGTCAAGACCTACAGGAAACGTATGATCTCTGTAATTGCAAACAAAGGTTTCTGTACCAAATATTAAGTTCTGCTTTTCTGATGTATCAAATACTTATGTCATGCAATAAAATGCAAATTAATTACTTAAAAATCATACATTGTGATTTTCTGGATTTTTGTTTTAGATTCCGTCTCTCACAGTTGAAGTGTACCTATGATAAAAAATGACAGACCTCTACATGCGTTGTAAGTAGGAAAACCTGCAAAATCGGCAGTGTATCAAATACTTGTTCTCCCCACTGTATATGGATGATGAAGCTTTTGATTACTGCTGATTTTACCCCCTCTGATTCGTCAAATGACTTATTATGTGACTGATATCAGATTCCGTGTGAATCAGGAATCTCCACAGGGACCTCAAATACAGTTGTCAGTAATATTTTTTGACAACTGATTCCACTTGTCGAGCGTCGTGCGTGCCATTATTTAACACGGCTGAACCGAAGCAAATGATTTCAGTTCCTTTGGTGTTGCTTGAGAGAATTATTGTATATTGTTATACCAGTTTACAGCATGCTCTGAATGGAATGACAATCTTTATTTATATTTTACAAGAGGATCCTTCGTTCAGATGACTGCAACATCTGACAAAGTCATTATGGGCCAGAGTTAGACGTTCCAATGGTTCATATTATTTATCGTCCTGTTTACTTCATCAAAGCTTGAGAAAAAAAATCAGTAGGATGAAATATGTTAAAGTTGCAGATGAGTTTTTATTGCAACATGCAGAATGGATTTTTCATCATGAATATTCATTATTTGACAGATATTTAAAATGTGGTCTCATTCGAAATTCGATTTGCATACATTCCCATGAAACAATTTTTATTATTGCTCATGACAAGAATAATATTCCTCCAGTTTTGCAGATTATATTCTCATCTGTCTATCAACTGTGAAGTTATTTTTCATATTTCGCATACTAATTATTTATATTGAAGCTTGTTCTCTTGTTTCAGACTTACAATTTACACTCTCTCTGTAGCACAACAATTCTGTAGCCTATGTTCTCGACAGCATTCCTTGCATATTTTCACACTAGAAAATTGGATAACCAGCTTCATCTTTGGCTTCTATCATTTAGTAAATTGTTTGCTGTAGCTCTCTCTGTGAATGTCTGCTGGGGTAACCGCAGCCAGACCCACATCATATGTTGCTCTCTCTGTGAAAGTCTGCTGGGGTAACCGCAGCCAGACCCACATCATATGTAGCTCTCTCTCTGAATTTCTGCTGTGGTAACTGCAGCCAGACCCACATCATATGTAGCTCTCTCTCTGAATTTCTGCTGTGGTAACTGCAGCCAGACCCACATCATATGTAGCTCTCTCTGTGAATGTCTGCTGGGGTAACCGCAGCCAGACCCACATCATATGTAGCTCTCTCTGTGAATGTCTGCTGGGATAACCGCAGCCAGACCCACATCATATGTAGCTCTCTCTCTGAATTTCTGCTGTGGTAACTGCAGCCAGACCCACATCATATGTAGCTCTCTCTGTGAATGTCTGCTGGGGTAACCGCATCATATGTTAATGTTATTATTATGCTATTTGTTTGTCTTCTCTCAGGAACCTGAGCTGTCCAAAGGATCACCCTTCATAAGAACCTCTTTGTTTCCTATGTCCTCAACTCCGCCCTAACCCTCATCTACCTCATAGCAGTGGTCAACAACCCAGATGTGGTGGGAAGAAATCCAGTAAGTTTCACTTTACTCTAGTTTACTTTACTCACCCCATATCACAGTCAAATACATCACAGAAATACATTTCACCTTTAAGGTAAAGTAGATAAATGGGAAGAGGAAATATAATGTACATCTCTCAGTGTTGCACTGCATGATCAAAAATAATTGTTTGAATTCTTAGAATGATGTAACACAGCCCTCAAGCACTATTTTATTTCATTCAAATTAGTTTACTCTATATCAATCAACTGCAATGCAGCTGTTTTTTCTAAAAGCGTTTGTTCAAATATAATTTGTTCTTTTTTAGCATATCTTTTAATGTGTTATGCCATTAACAGACTGCCCAGAACTATCCTTCTCTTAGCTCTCAGAGTTCTATCATCTGTCAGACTTTTGAACAGCTGCAACTCGTTGAGATTCAGTCAGATGTGAATTCTTTGTATCCTGAGGTCTGTTAAGGTGAAGATAGTAAATCTGCCTCCATGGAATGAATGTAACATTACTGTATATGGAATAATCATCCCTTTCTGGTACTTTCAGTATTGTCTTTTAAGGGACATTTTCATTGTCCACCTTTCAAGGAAATTATTTGAATAAATCAGCTTCTTATTATACAGTATTGTGACTCAGCAAGACAGAGTTACAGAGTCGCAGGCTTCTGTTCCGAAAAAATACAAAGAAAAAAATCAAATTAAAAAAACAAGTCAGAGAATTGTAGAGATTATCTTAATGTCGAAAAATCACTTTAGAGATGTCCTTCAGTTTAGCCAGACACAGAAAATAACTACCGTCTGGGTTTGATTTCGAGCCTCTCTTCTGCTCTTCTCCCCGTACCATCACGTTCTCACTGGAGAAACACACTTCAAGCCTAATCCAACTGGCATATTCACAGTAGAAGGTTTATTCAGATATACCAGCTGACCCTGGTGATCCAACCAACAGGGAGGAAGGAATGACAGCTTTCAAAATGAATATGAATAGCTATGTTCTAGCAGCATTGGCTCAGAACCATCTTTCCCAATCTGTTTTAAATTTATTATAATCTGCTTGTTTTGAAAAGCGACAGAACCAAATTGCAGTTTGTCTTTCACACCTCAGACAACATGGTCTTGATTTCCAGGGGAATACACATACTACACATCTTTAGTGGAACATGTTGAAATTCTGGAGCGCCAAATTTAGACTGGGTCGGTCTGTGTTCTGACTGCATGTTTGATTTAGGGATGTGATGCTCTGTTGGGAGAATATACTCAGCTCTCTCTGAACAAAAAGAACAAGGTCTCTTTCTCTCTGGCGGATCACAGCAGAGACTAGTAGTCGGCCAGTAGTGAAAGAGGAGTGGATCCCTAGTGCTCAGGTCAAGTAGGCCAAAGACATGAGACACACTTTGGAATCATCAGACATTAGTGCCTTAAACTCTGTTCCATAAAACATTGAGAACCATCCAGACTGTCCCATTACATTAGACTGGATGCCTCAGTTGGGGCTTCAAGTTGAGGTTTAATGTGGTTATGAAGTGGTGAGAAATGAAGTGTTCTGATCATACCAACAGACCTTAGTGATGAGTCGACTGTCTTTCAGCATACATGTAATGGCACATCTGGACTCCATGGCAGTGCCAGGAGTCGTGAAGGGCAGGGAGTGAGTGAGGGAGGAGAAAAAGGGAGATGGAAGGAGGAGAAATAGGAGGAGGAGGAGGAAGGAGGAGGGTAGAGGAGGAGGTGACATATGGCTAAGAGTTTGTGGGTGACTGACAGGTTTTGAAGGCTGCGTATGCTGTGTATACGGACCTCAGGGACAGAAGACTAGCTAATACCAATGCCAGTATCTTCTAATTAGATCAGCACACTTGGAGACAGAGGGCTGAGAACCAGGAATCTCAACATGGAAAAACTAGAGGATGAGCCTCAGTGAATATGCATGGGCCTGTCGCAAATGGAACTCTATTCCCTATATAGTGCACCACTTTTGACCAAGTCCCATACACTGTAAAAAAGATGCTATCTAGAACCTAAATGGGGCCTTCGGCTGTCCCCATAGGAGAACCCTTTGAAGAACACTTGTAATTAGTAGGAAATACAGCTGTGGAAAATATTAAGAGACCACTGCAAAATTATCCGTTTCTCTGGTTTTACTATTTATAGGTATGTGTTCGGGTAAAAATAACATTTTTGTTTTATTCTATAAACTGAAAACATTTCTCCCAAATTCCAAATAAAAATATTGTCATTTAGAGCATTTATTTGCAAAAAATGACAACTGGTCAAAATAACAAAAAAGATGCAGTGTTGTCAGACCTCGAATAATGCAAAGAAAATAAGTTCATGATCATTTTTAAACAACACAATAGTAATGTTTTAACTTAGGAAGAGTTCAGATATCAATATTTGGTGGAATAACCCTGATTTTCAATCACAGCTTTCATGCGTCTTGGCATGCTCTCCACAAGTCTTTCACATTGATGTTGGGTGACTTTATGCCACTCCTGGTGCAACAATTCAAGCACCTCGGCTTTGTTTGATGGCTTGTGACCATCCATCTTCCTCTTGATCACATTCCAGAAGTTTTCAATGGGGTTCAGGTCTGGAGATTGGGCTGGCCATGACAGGGTCTTGATCTGGTGGTCCTCCATCCACACCTTGATTGACCTGGCTGTGTGGCATGGCGCATTGTCCTGCTGGAAAAACCAATCCTCAGAGTTGGGGAACAATGTCAGAGCAAAAGGAAGCACGTTTTCTTCCAGGACAACCTTGTACGTGGCTTGATTCATGTGTCCTTCACAAAGACAAATCTGCCCAATTCCAGCCTTGCTGAATCACCCTCAGATCATCACCGATCCTCCACCAAATTTCACAGTGGATGCGAGACACTGTGGCTTGTAGGCCTCTCCAGGTCTCCGTCTAACCATTAGACGACCAGGTGTTGGGCAAAGCTGAAAATTGGACTTATCAGAGAATATGACCTTACTCCAGTCCTCTACGGTCCAATCCTTATGGTCTTTTGCAAACCTCAGCCTGGCTCTTCTTTGCTTCTCATTGATGAAGGGCTTTTTTCTAGCTTTGCACGACTTCAGCCCTGCCCCTAGGAGCCTGTTTCGAACCGTCATCGCCATGCACTTCACTCCAGCTGCCGTTTGCCATTCTTTTTGTAGGTCACTTGATGTCATCCTACGGTTGTTGAGTGACATTCAAATGAATTGGCGGTCATCCCGGTCAGTAGAGAGTCGTTTTCGCCCTCTGCCGGTCTGTAGCTTTGTTGTCCCCAATGTCTGCTGCTTGACCTTGTTCTTATGAACCGTCTTTGAAATGTTAAGGATGGAAGCAACCTGACGCTCACTGTATCCCTCTGCCAGTAAAGCCTGAATTGACTCCTCACTCAAAACATTCCTTTTCAACTCTTTTGGCATGGTCAATAGTTATTTTTGTATTAATATTACTTTTGAGGTACTATTAGCACTGTTTTTGCCATCCAGCTGGTCCTATTGCAAGAGGATAGTGATGACCACAGCAGTGGTTTTTATACTTTTCGTTAAATAAAATGTGGTTCATGTGATCACCTAATCAGTACCTAATTCAGTAGAATGAGAGGTGTGCCTGTGTTGGAATTCAACAGACACTGGAATGGAATGGCTGTCATACATGTAGAGATGCTGATTTAAGAAACATTTGCAGTGGTCTGTTAATTTTCTCCACAGCTGTAGGGTGCCATTTGGGACACAACCCCATAAAAAAAATAGGAAGTGAGTAAAAGACAGAAAGAGACATATGATAGTATGGTGTTGACTGACAAGAATGTGGGGATATTATTGAACAGAATGTAGGCTGCTTAACAGTCTATTTTTCTTATTTTTCACATAAACATAGTGTAATGTGGAGCGAGGGATGCACTGTGGCTCGAGCAGTAGGGGGTAAATGGATAAACATCCTCCTCTCTGGAAAATCATAATACCCCGCTAACGATTTTGTGTCAGGGCTGGTTGAGTGTTGGGCTTTGTGTTGTTGTTATTGTTGTTGAATGTTGTTGTTATTGTCTCTGTGTGACTCCCTGTGATCCTAATCCCCTGCAGGTTGGCTGTAAGGTGTTGCACTTCTTCCACATGTACATGCTGGGCTGTAACTACTTCTGGATGCTGTGTGAGGGGATCTACCTGCACACGCTCATTGTGGTGGCTGTGTTCGCCGAGGAGCAGCACCTACACTGGTACTACCTCCTAGGCTGGGGTGAGTCTCACTACCTGCCTTAACCACAGATCTAGGATCAGATTACTTTAAACCAACAACAACAAAAAACTCCAAATGGTATGCAATAAGGCTTTCTGTATTGGTTATAGCCAGCAATAAAAGGTTAGCAGTCAATTGAAAGTTGAAAGGTCACAAAAACAAAAACTAATTTAGGCAAATCAAAAACTACTAAATGTCCTTAAAATCTGATGTCCCAAAAACTGTTAAATTCTTTCCACTAAAAGATAAATTATAAGAAGTGTAGGAGAGTCAATCAACAAAGGAAAAAACAATCTGATTATCTACATACTGACAAGATGCTGGACCGCTCATATGCTGTGTTCATAACCAAGTGAGAAGGTGGTATTTACCAACATTTTCGGCAATTAAATGCAACAAAAATAACATTATTTATAAAAAGCAATCTAATTAATATGTTTTTTTAACACAAAAATGTGTTTACATGCATGATAGTTGTACTTTTAGTAGCTTGTGGCCATTAGCCAATCAGCGTTTCTGAACGAGTTCAAAGCCTGTGAATGCATCCAACTGGTATGTACGGCTTCACAACTGGTAATTACCACCTTCCCACTTGGTTATGAATGCAGCATAACAATGGGAATAAACGTCCACAAAGGCGGAAGGCAAGCGGGAGGAGACGGGATCAGGCTGGAACATTCTAGCTCATAAGAAGGCACATACGCATGTGAACAGCAGCGACAACTCCGATATAAAATCGTTTTTCTCAAAGTTGCCAGAATGCCATGTGTGTCCACTTATGTCAGTACATTCGTAACAACCTAAACATTACGAAACTTCTATTTGATCAAATAAGCCTCACATTGTAAATTAGAAATGTCATTATTTGTTGATCAAAGTATTTTCTGCTTCTCGCTGTATTTTCGCCCGGACAGATTTTGGGGTGCATTTAGGCCTCTCACGTCACATCTTTCTCTCTGGATAAACTCACCTTCGTGATGATAGGAAGTCCATATGTGAGAGTAGTCCAGTAATTCCCTTTCTCCAGGCAGATAACCCAAAGGAACAGGTTTCTACCACAGGGGGCCAGTGGCACCTTAATTTGGTTAATTGGTTTCCATGTGTTTGATAAAGTACCATTCCATTCACTTCATTCCAGCTATTATGATAAGCCGTCCTCCCCTCAGCAGCCTCCTGTGGTTCCTACAGCACACACTATTTTAAATGTCATTCATTGTTCCTCAAACCACGGCCATTTCTCTCTCCTCTTTCTACTCACATGACCCCATACTTAAAGTGACAGGTGTCATTTTTAACCATCAAGAGACATTAAATGTAATGATGCAGTCGTTTAGCCAGAATGTTTTTATTCAACGGATAAATCAGAGGTAGGCTATTCACCTTTATGTTGACCTCGCTAGAACTGAACCAATAACTTTGACAGTACACCTTGCCCATCTGTTTTTGGGTCACATAAAAGAACATTGTAAACAGCTCCCACCATCGCTGAACCACACATAGATCAACTTGTGTGTCACACAACAGAACGGGACACAATCTGTGTCGGGACACAGGATCAGAGACAACCCTGAGGTCACTGTTAACCGCAACACTCCCCGTGTGTCGACCCCGCCACACCCTGCATCAGATTGACAGCTTTATTATTATGAGTGACGTGTTATAGTATGAGCCCTGGCCATCCGATAAGTGGTACAATATAACTGTGAATGGTCAGCCATTATTAAAGATGCCGCGATATAACCTTGGGGCAGTAGCTACAGTATCATACACACAGCCACCCAAAGGGATGGAGGGATGGATGGAGAGAGGGCGGGAGGGAGGTGGGGTGGATGGAGAGAGGGATGGAGGGATGATGGAGAAGCGGGCGGGAGGGAGGGGTGGATAAGAGAGAGGGATGGAGGGATGGATGGAGAGAGGGGCGGGAGGGAGGGGTGGATGGTAGAGAGGGATGGAGGGATGAATGGATGGAGAGAGGGCGGGAGGGAGGGGTGGATAAGAGAGAGGGATGGAGGGATGGATGGAGAGAGGGCGGGAGGGAGGGGTGGATGGAGAGGGATGGAGGGATGGATGGAGAGAGGGCGGAGGGAGGGGTGGATAAGGGAGGGAGGGGTGGATGAGGAGAGAGGGATGGAGGGAGGGGGGATGGAGAGAGGATGGAGGGATGGATGGAGGAGGGCGGGAGGGAGGGGTGGATAAGAGAGAGGGATGGAGGGATGGATGGAGAGAGGGGCGGAGGGAGGGGTGGATGGAGAGAGGGATGGAGGGATGGATGGAGAGGAGGGCGGGAGGGAGGGGTGGATAGAGAGAGGGATGGAGGGATGGATGGATGGAGAGAGGGCGGGGAGGAGGGGTGGATGAGAGAGGGCGGGAGAGAGGGGTGGATAAGAGAGAGGGATGGAGGGATGGATGGAGAGAGGGCGGGAGGGAGGGAGGGGTGGATGGAGAGAGGGATGGATGGAGAGAGGGTGGGAGGGAGGGGTGGATAAGAGAGAGGGATGGAGGGATGGAGGGATGGAGGGATGGAGGACCTTGATAAATGACTTCCAAATGGACCCGCAGTTCGGAATCATCTGTTTCATCTGTTTATGGCCCAGCAAATGAGAACCCCAATAAATACTGGCATGGTTGTGTTGTTTATAGGGAAAGGATTTAACCAGACTCGGTAAGTAGAGGAAATGGCTCCGTGTGGGGTTGTTCTTGCTCAGCTTGTAGCAGACAACATGATGCTATAAGCTTGTTTTGACTTTAGAAAGAGCTTCCATTGGCTATTTGGTTAACTGTCTATTCTGTCAGGTATCTTCACTTTAAATTACATGATCATGCTTAACAGCCTTAAAGGGATAGTTTAAAGGGATATCCACTTACCTTGGCTGTGTTTATGCTAATTTCTATTTTAAGTGAACTTCCCCTTTAACTTCTTCTAAACAGTCTACAGTACAGTAGATATACAATAAGTTACGCTTATAACTGAGGAATTACACACTAATTACTGTAGTAAAAACATTATAACTGTTTACGTTATAATAAACACAACATAATTAATTCATGAATTGATTAATTAACGTTTTGCAGATGTCCTTACAGTGTCTGTCTTCTTGTTTCCAGGGTTTCCCTTAGTGCCTGCATCCATTCACGCTGTAGCGAGGAAGAAGTATTTTGATGACAAGTGAGTAATGGTCCTCTGCAGTAGTATTGTAAATAAGCTGAGCAGCTGTGTGGTCGGCTGCAGTACACAGATCTAAAAAGAGAAGAAGAATACTTTATTGTCTGTTTGTAGAGAGGGACTTGTTTGACGGCGGATGTTTCTCCTTCCTGTAGCTGCTGGATGAGTGTGGAGACCCATCTGCTCTACGTGGTCCACGGTCCCATCATGGCAGCGCTGCTCGTAAGTCACACCCTACTCAATTTAAATTCCTAAAGTGGACACTCAGAGGCTACATCCTGTACAGCCTGGTCTCATAGACTAGACGTAACATAGCAAATGTAAATCCGGGACACGCAAATTAGTATGATATGTTACATTTGGGATGGTTACATAAGACAGAAAGTTACTTAATGCGAACATATAGCAACTCAAAGGTTGCACTTACGAATCTCATCACGGACAACTTTAGCAAATTAGCAACTTTGCAACTATAATAGACAAAAATATAAACGCAACATGCAACAATTTCAAAGATTTTACTGAGTTACAGTTCACATAAGGAAATCAGTCAATTGAAATAAATTCATTAGACCTTAATCTATGGATTTCACATGACTGGACAGGGGTGCAGCCTTGGGTGGGCAGCCAGGCCCACCCACTGGGGAGCCAGGCCCAGCCAATCAGAATGAGTTTTTCCCCACAAAAGGGCTTTATTACAGACAGAAATACTCCTCAGCATCACTCCCACCCCCCCTCAGACGATCCCGCATGTGAAGAAGGCGGATGTGGAGGTCCTGGGCCGGCGTGGTTACACGTGGTCTGCGGTTGTGAGGCCAGTTGGACGTACTGACAAATTCTCTAAAACAACGTTGGAGGCAGCTTATGGTAGAGACATGTACATTAAATTCTCTGGCAACAGCTCTGGTGGACATTCCTGCAGTCAGCAAGCCAATTGCATGCTCCCTCAAGACTTGAGACATCTGTGGCATTGTGTTGTGTATCAAAACTGCACATTTTAAAGTGGCCTTTTACTGTTTAATCAGCTTCTTGATATGCCACACCTGTCAGGTGGAGGGATTTTCTTGGCAAAGTATAAATGCTCACTAACAGGGATGTAAACAAATGTGTGCACAACATTTGAGAGAAATAAGCTTTTTGTGCTTATGGAACATTTCTGGGATTTTTTATTTCAGCTCATGAAACTTGGGACCAACACCTAACATGTTGTGTTTATATTTCTGTTCAGTGTACTTACTACTTTTGAGCTACTTTGCAACTACTTAGCATGTTAGCTAACACTTCCCCCAAACCTAACCCTAACCTTAACCCTTTAACCTAACTCCTAACCTTAACCCTAACCTTAACCCCTGACCCCTAACCCTAACCCCTAGCCTAGCTAACTTTAGCCACCTAGCTAACATTGGCGTTAGCCATTTAGCCACCTAGCTAACTTTAGCCACAACAACTTGGAATTCGTAACATACAGTACCAGTCAAAACCTTGGACACAACTACTAATTCCAGGGTTAAAATGTTCTACATTGTAGAATAATAGTGAAGACATCAAAACTATGAAATAACACATATGGAATCATGTAGTAACCCAAAAAGTGTTAAACAAATCAAAATATATTCTTCAAATAGCCACCCTTTGCCTTGATGACAGCTTTGCACACTCTTGGCATTCTCTCAACCAGCTTTACCTGGAATGCTTTTCCAACAGTCTTGTAGGAGTTCCCACATATGCTGAGCACTTGTTGGCTGCTTTTCCTTTACTCTGCGGTCCGACTCATCCCAAACCATCTCAATTGGGTTGAGGTCGGGGGATTGTGGAGGCCAGGTCATCTGATGCAGCACTCCATCACTCTCCTTCTTGGTAAAATAGCCCTTACACAGCCTGGAGGTGTGATGGGTCATTGTCCTGTTGAAAAACAAATCATAGTCCCACTAAGCCCAAACCAGATGGGATGGCGTATCGCTGCAGAATGCTGTGGTAGACATGCTGGTTAAGTGTGCCTTGAATTCTAAATAAATCACAGATAGTGTCACCAGCAAAGCACCCCCACACCATAACACCTCCTCCTCCATGCTTTACGGTGGGAACTACACATGCGGAGATCATCCGTTCACCCACACCGCGTCTCACAAAGACACGGCGGTTGTAACCAAAAATCTCTAATTTGGACTCCAGACCAAAGGTCAAATTTCCACCGGTCTAATGTCCATTGCTCGTGTTTCTTGGCCCAAGCAGGTCTCTTCTTCTTATTGGTGTTCTTTAGTAGTGGTTTCTTTGCAGCAATTCGACCATGAAGGGCTGATTCACACAGTCCCCTCTAAACAGTTGATGTTGAGATGTATCTGTTACTTGAACTCTGTGAAGCATTTATTTGGGCTGCAATTTCTGAGGCTGGTAACTCTAATGAACTTATCCTCTGCAGCAGAGGTAACTCTGGGTCTTCCATTCCAGTGGTGGTCCTCATGAGATTGGGTGAATGCACCAATTTGTAAGTCGCTCTGGATAAGAGCGTCTGCTAAATGACGTAAATGTGCCCTTGAGCAAGGCACTTAACCCTAATTGCTCCTGTAAGTCGCTCTGGATAAGAGCGTCTGCTAAATGACTAAAATGTAAATGTAAATCATGACAGCCAGTTTCATCATAGCGCTTGATGGTTTTTGCAACTGCACTTGAAGAAACTTTAAAAGTTCTTGACATTTTCCGGACTGACTGACCTTCATGTCTTAAAGTAATGATGGACTGTCATTTCTCTTTGCTTATTTGAGCTGTTCTTGCCATAATATGGACTTGGTATTTTACCCCCCCTACCTTGTCACAACACAACTGATTGGCTCAAACGCATTAAGAAGGACAGAAATTCCACAAATTAACTTTTAAGAAGGAACACCAGTTAATTTTAATGCATTCCAGGTGATTATCTCATGAAGCTGGTTGAGAGAATGCCAAGAGTGTGCAAAGCTGTCATCAAGGCAAAGGGTGGCTATTTGAAGAATCTCAATATAAAATATATTTTGATTTGTTTAACACTTATTTGGTTACTACATGATTCCATATGTGTTATTTCATAGTTTTGATGTCTTCACTATTATACTACAATGTAAAAAATAGTAAAAATAAAGAAAAACCCTGGAATTAGTAGGTGTGTCCAAACCTTTGACTGGTAGTGGACATACAGGTTGGAGCAGGGGGCTGCCATACTAGGCGCACGTGGAGCAGTTGTTGTGGGAGGTTAAGTGCCTTGCTAAAGAGCAGAATGGCAGGAAATGGCATCTAGGATTCGATACCAGCAACCCTCCGGTTTGCCTGCTCACTTCCCGCCAGATTTCTCCCGTCAGACTCGGGATTCAAACTGGCATCCCTCCTTGTTGCTGGCTCACCTCTCCAACCGCTAGGCTACCTGCCTCCTGCATATATACATATGGTTCATGGATTTTCTGCTAGATCAAAACTTAATAGGTAGCTGTTATTGGAGCTATAATCCTGTATTGTTATACTGTTGAATGTGCAACACTTCAATCAAAGCAAATGGTTTTTTATGCTGGTGCTAAGACTTCCATTGTTCAGGCAAAATCATTATAATCAGATTAGATTTCAGCTCTTTCAGACACTGCAACCATTTTCAGCCATTTATAAAATCCCTTCTTTCTCTTTTTTCCCAGGTGAATCTGTTCTTCTTGCTGAACATCGTGAGGGTGCTGGTTACCAAGCTGAGGGACACCCACCGGGCAGAGTCTAACATGTACATGAAGGCAGTGAGAGCTACCCTGATCCTGGTCCCTCTCCTGGGCATCCAGTTTGTAATCTTCCCCTGGAGGCCAGAGAACCGCCTGGCAGGGGAGGTTTACGACTACATCATGCATATATTAATGCATTACCAGGTAATGACTACATCATGCATATATTACCAGGTAATGACTACATCATGCATATACAGTATTACCAGGTAATGCTACTGATCGCTATGACTACATCATGCATATATTACCAGGTATGACTAGATCATGCATATATTACCAGGTAATGACTACATTATGCATATATTAACACATTACCAGGTAATGCTACTGATCTCTATGACTACATCATGCATATATTACCAGATATGACTAGATCATGGATATATTACCAGGTAATGACTACATCATGCATATATTAACACATTACCAGGTAATGCTACTGATCTCTATGACTACATCATGCATATATTACCAGATATGACTAGATCATGGATATATTACCAGGTAATGACTACATCATGCATATATTAACACATTACCAGGTAATGCTACTGATTGCTATGACTACATCATGCAACTGAGTGTATGCCAGCAGCACAGTCCTTGCCAAAGCTCTGATCTGACATATGGTAATATTAGCGAGAGTATCTGATGTTTGTTTGTTTGTTTTGCTTTTCCTCCAGGGATTACTAGTGGCAACGATATTTTGCTTTTTCAATGGCGAGGTAAGCATTACTGTGCTAGCACAACTTTTCAACAAAACACAAGGGATATTTTTCTTCCCTTCCCATTCAGTTCAACTCTTGGATAATTTGTTTGTTGAGGTACAGTAGACAGTATACAGTAACAGTTTACGCTTGAACCTCTGAAGAACCCTTACCCTTTGTTAAAGTACAGTTTTAATTGAACCTCTGAAGAACCCTTACCCTTTGTTAAAGTACAGTTTTAATTTAACCTTGAAGAACCCTTACCCTTTGGTAAAGTACAGTTTACGCTTGAACCTCTGAAGAACCATTACCCTTTGGTAAAGTACAGTTTTAATTGAACCTCTGAAGAACCCTTACCCTTTGGTAAAGTACAGTTTTAATTGAACCTCTGAAGAACCCTTACCCTTTGTTAAAGTACAGTTTTAATTGAACCTCTGAAGAACCCTTACCCTTTGGTAAAGTACAGTTTTAATTTAACCTTGAAGAACCCTTACCCTTTGGTAAAGTACAGTTTTAATTGAACCTCTGAAGAACCCTTACCGTTTGGTAAAGTACAGTTTTAATTGAACCTCTGAAGAACCCTTACCCTTTGTTAAAGTACAGTTTTAATTGGCCATGTTGAGGGGATGACAAGTCAGATACCAATGAAACAGCTCATCGCTGCCTGGTGGCGTTTCACCTGACACGACTCGTCTGTCCCGTCACGCACACCATTTCACTGAGCGTTTCCAGGTCAACAGGCGGCCATCTTGTGCACCTGATAACACATTGATGAGTGGCCCGTGGTGATAGAGTTATCCCTAATGAGTGGGAGGGAGCGTCTCTGCTGCTGACTCCTGTACAGCAGCAAGGACAACAGCAGTAAGGCCATCTCAGATGAAGAGGAAAGAAGACAGACACTTGAACCTCTCCGGGGCGAATCACCCACCCTGTCTGTCTTTCTGACTGTCGCCCACTCAGCTCAGCCTGCAGCTGTTTGCTGTCAAGATTCACCTGCATGAACTTTACCTTTTGAATTTTTAAAGGACATTGCTGTTTTGTTTTTTTAAGAGACTGTGTAGACTTGTTTTGAAGTCATATTGAAGATGATGTCATCTAGAACGCCAGAGGTTTAAACCCATGCCCACCCACCCAGTCAGTTAATGTCATACATTGAGAGAACGCATTTGATAGGTCAGGGTTTGCGTACTACTTGGCCAGTCAGAGACAAGAATAGGCTGACTGAGCATTTTCTTCGCTTGAGAAACTAGAAAACAAAAGCAATGCGCAGACCAAGAAAAACTGAGACCTAATTTGAATACTCAGCATGAGGTGGTATCTGGCACTGACAAAAACACAGTGAATTAACACAGCGTTCGTTCATTATCAAGCGCAGTGTTAAATCATGTTTTATACATTGGGAATTATTTCTGGGCCGGGAAAACAAGCCAATCGTTAGCTCATGCATGAGCAACCAGACCTCATCAGCGTCACTCCATCGGCTCCCGTAAACAAGTTCGACGTGTTGGAAGAACAGATTCAGTTTCGGGGGGGATAAAAGGCGCATTGACACAAAGTAATTGTTTTTTCGGTTGGGGAATGTTTGTTTGCTTTGCCGCATAATGGTTCGTACTGTCTCTGGGACATTCGTTTTTGGGGCTGAGTTCATTCCCCGATTTGATTCTGTGGCCAAACTGCATAGACCTAGGGTGCATTCCAAATGACACCCTATTCCCTATATTCCCTACGGGCACCCTTTTCCCTAAGGGCCCTGGTAGTGCACTACAGTATATATGGGAATAGGGTGCCATTTGAGACTCAGCCCTAACTACACAGTCTGTTGAATAGCTCTTGTCAAGTTAAGCCAATGGGAAAAAAGTAGTACTTATTTTTATGTTTTCTAGGTTACGTCTGAAATGGCACCCTATTCCCTATATAGTGCACTACTTTGGACCAGAGTACAATTAGTTGATAAAAAAGGAAAGAGAAACCCTGTGCACAGCAGTGTGTCTAGGTCCAGCTGCTGGTTTTGGCAGGAACAACGAGTATTACAAAACAAGAGTAAAAACAGGACACTGAAGAAAGAAATGCGATCGGTCGCCTGTCTTTTTTCATTGTGCGTTTCTTTCTTGTTTTTGAATGCTAGTTGTTGATATGCTCTGCATTAGATAATGGGAGAGTGTAGTGTGTCCTGTCCTCATTTTCCCTCAGTAATTAGTGTGCCGTTGTTCAGGAATTAGACATTCCTTGTTCTGCCTCAGCCCGTTCTTCTGAGTTAACTATTGGCTCTATTCATTCTATATCGCGGAAGTTCAGCGTTACAGCATGATTGACATTTAAAGGCAATGTTCCCTCAATAGCGGAGATTGCATTCACTATAAACGCTGCATATGTCGGCTCAATCGGAAATTACCGTTACATACTTTATGGCACAATCTGTAACTCTTCAGCAATACAGATTATAATAACAATAATTATTGAATAGAGACCTATGTCACACACTGCTTTGATTAACATTTTTAGACTGCACACGTTTCATGCAGTATAACGTTATCAAACAAGATAACGCTCCTTAATCAGATCGGTGCTGTGCTCAAGAAGTTGATAGTCTCATAATGTAAAATGTACAAACTTAGTTGGTGATTTTCAAAAGAGTAACAGCAGATAAACTAGCCTAAATGGACACTTATGTTCACGTGTCTCTTTTGAAAAGTGCCTAACTGTTGCATAAATGCCTCAAGCTACTCTACCTGCACTAAACTCAGTGAGGAAGGAAGGTATTACCCTTCAAGTAATCACAGGAAATGGGAGCCTAGATTGTGATTCAATTCGGTTCTTGCCAAATTCATGTCTACAAACTTCCATTAACATTTATCAAATCAATCCACATTTCCTGAGCTGTCACATTAAATTGAGTTAATGATCAAGCATATTAAATTGAGTTAATGATCATGCATATTGATGAAAGTGTGTGGTTAGGCACTAAAATGTAGCCTAATTCTCATACACTCACATGCACACACACATTATTTTTGTATTTTTTTGTGTGTGATTACTGATAAATTAATTTATACATTTATAATTAGTAGGTTTTGTTATCTGTATTAATACACTTTTTTATTTATTTTTTACTTATATATGAACAGTCGTGGTCAAAAGTTTGGGAATGACACAAGTATTGGTCTTCACAAAGTTCGCTGCTTCAGTGTTATGAGATATTTTTGTCAGATGTTACTATGGTATACTGAAGTATAATTACAAGCGTTCCATAAGTGTCAAAGGCTTTTATTGACAATTACATTCAGTTTATGCAAAGAGTCAAAATTTGCAGTGTTGACCCTTCTTTTTCAAGACCTCTGCAATCCGCCCTGGCATGCTGTCAATTAACTTCTGGGCCACATCCTAACTGATGGCAACCCATTCTTGCATAATCAATGCTTGGAGCTTGTCCGAATTTGTGGGTTTTTGTTTGTCCACCCGCCTCTTGAGGATCGACCACAAATTCTCAATGGGATTAAGGTCTGGGGAGTTATCTGGCCATGGACCCAAAATGTTGATGTTTTGTTCCCCGAGCCACTTAGTTATCACTTTTGCCTTATGGCAAGGTGCTCCATCATGCTGGAAAAGGCATTGGTCATCACCAAACTGTTCTTGGATGGTTGGGAGAAGTTGCTCTTGGAGGATGTGTTGGTACCATTCTTTATTCATGGTTGTGTTCTTAGGCAAAATTGTGAGTGAGCCCACTCCCTTGGCTGAGAAGCAACCCCACACATGAATGGTCTCAGGATGCTTTACTGTTGGCATGATACAGGACTGATGGTAGCGCTCACCTTGTCTTCTCCGGACAAGGTGTTTTCCGGATGCCCCAAACAATTGGAAAGGGGATTCATCAGAGAAAATGACTTTACCCCAGTCCTCAGCAGTCCAATCCCTGTACCTTTTGCAGAATATCAGTCTGTCCCTGATGTTTTTCCTGAAGAGAAGTGGCTTCTTTGCTGCCCTTCTTGACACCAGGCCATCCTCCAAAACTCTTTGCCTCACTGTGCGTGCAGATGCACTCACACCTGCCTGCTGCCATTCCTGAGCAAGCTCTGTACTGGTGGTGCCCTGATCCCGCAGCTGAATCAACTTTAGGAGACGGTCCTGGCACTTGCTGGACTTTCTTGGGCGCCCTGACGCCTTCTTCACAACAATTGAACCTCTCTCCTTGAAGTTCTTGATGATCCAAAAAATGGTTGATTTAGGTGCAATCTTACTAGCAGCAATATCCTTGCCTGTGAAGCCCTTTTTGTGCAAAGCAATGATGACGGCACATGTTTCCTTGCAGGTAACCATGGTTAACAGAGGAATAACAATGATTTCAAGCACCACCCTCCTTTTAAAGCTTCCAGTCTGTTATTCTAACTCAATCAGCATGACAGAGTGATCTCCAGCCTTGTCCTTGTCAACACTCTCACCTGTGTTAACGAGAGAATCACTGACATGATCGCAGCTGGTCCTTTTGTGGCAGGGCTGAAATGCAGTGGAAAAGTTTTTTGGGGATTAAGTTCATTTTCATTGCAAAGAGGGACTTTGCAATTAATTGCAATTCATCTGATCACTCTTCATGACATTCTGGAGTATATGCAAATTGCCATCATCAAAACTGAGGCAGCAGACTTTGTGAAAATTAGTATTTGTGTCATTCTCAAAACTTTTGACCACGACTCTACAGTTATTAAAACTAGTTTTTCAACCACTCCACAAATGTCTTGTTAACAAACTATAGTTTTGGCAAGTCGGTTAGGACATCTACTTTGTGCATGACACAAGTAATTTTTCCAACGATTGTTTACAGACAGATTAGTTCACATCAGAAGTTTACATACACTAACTGTGCCTTTAAACCACTTGGAAAATTCCAGAAAATTATGTCATGGCTTTAGAAGCTTCTGATAGGTTAATTGACATAATTTGAGTCAATTGGAGGTGTACCTGTGGATGTATTTCAAGGCCTACCTTCAAACTCAGTGCCTCTTTGCTTGACATCATGGGAAAATCAAAAGAAATCAGACAAGACCTCAGAAAAAAAATTGTAGACCTCCACATGTCTGGTTCATCCTTGGAAGCAATTTCCAAACGCCTGAAGGTACCACGTTCATCTGTACAAACAATAGTACGCATGTATAAACACCATGGGACCACGCAGCCGTCATACCGCTCAGGAAGGAGACGCATTCTGTCTCCTAGAGATGAACGTACTTTGGTGCGAAAAGTGCAAATCAATCCCAGAAGATGCTGAAGGAAACAGGTACAAAAATATCTATATCCAGAGTAAAACGAGTCCTATATCGACATAACCTGAAAGGCCGCTCAGCTACGGTTTGCAACTGCACATGGGGACAAAGATCGTACTTTTTGGAGAAATGTCCTCTGGTCTGATGAAACAAAAATAGAACTGTTTGGCAATAATGACCATCGTTATGTTTGAAGGAAAAGGGGGGCGGCTTGCAAGCCGAAGAACACCATCCCAACCGTGAAGCACGGGGGTGGCAGCATCATGCTGTGGGGGTGCTTTGCTGCAGGAGGGACTGGTGCACTTCACAAAATAGATGGCATCATGAGGAAGGAAAATTATGTGGATATATTGAAGCAACATCTCAAGACATCAGTCAGGAAGTTAAAGCTTGGTTGCAAATGGGTCTTCCAAATAGACAATGACCCCAAGCAGACTTCCAAAGTTGTGGCAAAATGGCTTAAGGACAACAAAGTCAAGGTATTGGAGTGGCCATCACAAAGCCCTGACCACAATCCTATAGAAAATGTGTGGGCAGAACTGAAAAAGCGTGTGCGAGAAAGGAGGCCTACAAACCTGACTCAGTTATACCAGCTCTGTCAGGAGGATTGGGCCAAAATTCACCCAACTTATTGTGGGAAGCTTGTGGAAGGCTACCTGAAACGTTTGACCCAAGTTAAACAATTTAAAGGCAATTCTACCAAATATTAATTGAGTGTATGTAAACTTCTGACCCACTGGGAATGTGATGAAATAAATCAAATCATTCTCTCTACTATTAAATAAAGTGGTGATCCTAACTGACCTAAGACAGGGAATTTTTACTCGGATTAAATGTCAGGAATTGTGAAAAACGGAGTTTAAATGTATTTGGCTAAGGTGTATGTAAACTTCAGACTTCAACTGTAGATTTGTGGTGTGGTTTTCGTATAAGCCCTTGGGCTTCCAACCACAACTGCACGCCCATTTTTTATTTGATTTGTTTATATCTGTATTGTTGTCTATCACTTGTTTTCTTAGGTGCAAAAAAATATATATAAAAAAAAGAGTTTGTGTGATGAGCGTGAGGTACAAACAGGCTATGTGTATTTGTTCTTTGCACCTGTCTCTGCCTAACAAGTCTATTACTCTCTGGATGTCTGTAGAACCCTGATGAAGGCAACAGCTGAAATGCATTGATTTAATAATAAAGAAGCTTTTATGGAATGTACTTCCATTGTCCTCCAAGAGTGGCTAAAGATGGTTGTACCCCCTCTCTCTCTGTGAGTGTGAGTGTGTATGGGTGTTTATGCATTTTGCATGTGTACTCACCCATTAGAGAAAACAGTTGATAATCTGAATGTGCCTTTTTCTCAGGTGCAGGCGGCTCTGAAGAGACAGTGGATTCAGTACAAGGCCCAGTGGGGTCAGAGACGGCGGGACCACTGCTCCATGCGCTCTACCTCCTACACCGCCACTTCCATCACTGAGGTGCCCGCCTTCATGTACCACCACGACTGCAACAGCGAACACTTAAACGGCAGACACACCTCTGAGGACTCTGAGCTGGTGGCTCTTAAGACAGGGGAGACGTACGCCTGACAAGCGGGAGGCAGTCTGAGTGTCGGAGGAGAGAAGAGTTAGTAGAGGAACCAAGATGGAGATGTTTCTCTACTATCCCGCCGCAGTTCCACATTTCAGAGACAGAATGGGTGGGTTCAGCCCCAGACTGTGAAGGACAAGACAGTGTGTGTCTGGACAGTGATACAGTGATATCTCTCCCATGAGTTGGCCAATGATGGCTGATGCTTCATTTACATGACTTTGCTGCTGCTATGGCTGCTTATTAAAGACACTAAGATATACAGTACAAGAAACGGGAGCCGCGTTTGAAATGTGGCACGTCCTAAAGCTGCTATCTGTGGGACTCTTCCCACACATTATGGGAATGTTGAGGATGATGGTGATGATTATAATGATGTTGATGATTATAATGATGATGAATAGGAGGAGGATTATAATGATTATAATAATGATGATGATAATGATGATGATGATGTTGATGGTGAAGGTGATGATGATGATGATGATGAAACTGTATTGTTGCTTTGCCTATACCAAAGGGTGTGTGGGGTGGGCTGCCAGTACGAGAGGCATGCTCTGTGTGAACTGAATCCAACACTGAAGAGATCCCCTGAAGGTCACATACTGACGGACAGCACAGTGCATGTGTATGTGTGTGTGTCCGTGGCGACACAAGAGGTCAAAGGTTTAAAAGGCTCCCTGTGCCTAAGCTCTGGAATCCTGTACATAATGGTTCACCAGTTTCACTTTAAAAGTGTCAAAGTGTGTTTTAGAGGATTTTATTTTTCGGACGAAATGTTTTTGTTCTTGCCAACGACTTGTTCTTTAAATACCTGCCATCTGTCCCGTGAAGCTAGCGAGCTCCTCCAGCCTGCTTTACTGTTAGTACAGCTGCTGACTGTGCTTGTGTTGTTTCAGTCACAAGGACTGGATTTAAAGAGTGCAGAAGATACAGAATGGCTTGAAATGGGCTCAAAAGAGAAAGAGTAAAAAGGGTTGATTAACTTAGTATAAAAATAAAGACAGACTGAAGGTAACGTGTTTAAGAGCCATGTGTTTAGCAGACACATGTTTGAGTACCACCTGGCTCTTGAGACTATTTTCAGTGAAATAGTCTGTATATCGTTTGCCGTGTCCATTTGCCAAAAGGTCTAATGTGAAGCTTGTATGATTCCACAATAATCATAATTTTTTGTTTTGTGCTTAAATTAAATCCATTCCAATATGTTCAAATTATTTTCTATATGTCATATCAGTTATAAATAGAGATGACAGGGAATGAGGAGGGAGAAGCACAAGCATTTCGCTACACTCGCAATAACATCTGCTAACCATGTGTATGTGACCAATACATTTGATTTGATTTGTGAAGAGGAGAGGAGAAAACATGGTTACCTGCATAGTATTCATACATCAATAATAATAATATAAACAATAACAATATACACTTTTTAAAAGAAAAGTCTTGACAATCTAGGCCTAGGAAGATGTTTCAAGGTAGAACCCTCATTTCCCCAGGCAATTATCTAAATCGAAAACATAATTACATTGAAGTAGCATCCTTCTATTGTACAGAATCTGTCAAATGTGAAGAAAATCATTCTATTTGAGGGCTATTTCAAAGATTCTGTTGACATTTATCTTGTGGTGAATACATGCATCTAATATATCATGCTCTTAGATCCTAAATGAAAGTCTTTGAGGCATTTCAGTCAGGGGTCAATTCAATCCGTAGCGCAGAATATCTGAATTGAGCGTAGTGAGGAATGCCTTGCTCTTAGCCAATCTGCTAGCACAGGCTAATTTCTAGGAGTGTGATTTTGGTTTTATGTCACAAAGGCTGTCCTAAGGAGTCAGGAATAGAAACAGTGAGGTTATAGCTCTTATTTACCTTCTGTTTCTCAGAAATCCTAATCTCCACCTAATCTCAAATGTATTCCTTTGTAGGTTGCGCAACCATAACAGATTCCTAAATTAGACACATGGAAAACCAATCTAAATCATTGAAATTGAACGTAATCGCTTAGCACACTGCTTTGTATTGAGTTAAGATGTGTGTGAGTGTTTATCAGTGTGTAAAATAGAGATAGTGATCCATGAGCCTTGAGGCCTTCTGATGTTTAGATTATTCCCATCTTCACATTAATGGTGTTTAAAGATAGCCATCTGCTAGGATTTAACTCCAGGGGACATTCAGAAACAAAGAACAGCTCTGGAGCAGCCCTGATCTGGATATAGTGTACACTCTTAGAAAAAAAAAAGAGTTCCAAAGGGTTCTACTGCTGTCCCCATATAACCCTTTTTGGTTCCAGGTAGAACCATTTTGGGTTCCACGTAGAACCCTCTGTGGAAAGGGTTCTACCTGGAACCAAAAAGGTTTTCTCAACAGGTTCTCTTACGGGGACAGCCAAAGAACCCTTTTAGGTTCTAGATAGCACATTTATTTCTATGAGTGTAGCACTATGCTAGATAGAGACCAATACTTTAGCAGAATACCGAGGACAGCCTAGGGGACTCGAAATACGTTTTTTACTCATATTTAATCCTAAATTGTGCATACAATGAAATCCACAGCAACAATGTGATTTATAAATCTAGAACAATTTATAAATGAGGCCTCAGGTGCCCTGACCCATAGCAGACTAGTCTGGACTTGAATGCCGAAGACACATCTTCCTTTGGGGACAATCAAGTTTATCTTATCTTATCTTAGACCCTGTCACACTAATTGAGCCAATCTAATTTATTTTACAGCTTAAATTCCTATTAGGCCAGGATCAAATAAATATTTACACTTGCACCAACGTATACTGAATCCAATATCTTTGTGGTTGTGGGGCCATCATGGAAGATTTGAGACGGAGACAATCAGTTTGAAATGGAAGAAGGCCATTAGATGAGGTCTCTATAGGCTCTATTCAATCTGGAAGTTCAGCGTTACAGCGTGATTGAAATGTAAAGGCAATGTTTCCGCGTTAGCGGAGACTGCATTCACGGTCATATGAGCTAATTCTGTCTGTTTGATACCGAAGAAGGTGTTAACCACTGTGAAGCCTTATAGATGATTTAAAAAGTGTTTGATCCATCCATATTTTGAGGTTTATTTGTTCTGGATATGAACACAATGTTACGTATTTTTTTCCATTTGGAGGAAGATTAATATTTCTGTATATTTAGTATGTTCATGGCTATGTTGTCCAGTGCCCCTGTAAATATGACAGCAGAGTTTGTGTAATAGATGTTCACACTGTGAAATGTTTTGACCGCTGTTTTTGGTTCTTTTGTTTCGCTTGTGTTTGGCGCTCGACCTCCCTCTAAGCTCTTTGTGTGGCGTTACTTCAAAGAAGATAAAAACACTTCTTTTTTTTTTGCACAAATTGACCAGCTTTTTGTTTGAAAGCTATTACAATCAGAAATATATTGGAAAAGATTCTCTGTTATTTATTTACTTCCTGCACGATAATAGGTTACCTCTAGTGTGTGTGTGTGTGTGTGTGTGTGTGTGTGTGTGTGTGTGTGTGTGTGTGTGTGTGTGTGTGTGTGAGTGTGTGTGTGTGAGAAAGGGAGCAGAAAAATATGGTTTTAAAAGTTCAAAAATACCTCATCACAGATGTACATCTCAACAGACAACAAACAATCCTCACTGTATTATTTGTCTATAAAAATGTCCAACCTAAATTATTTAGGCGTACTTTGATATCTAGTGTCCTTTATGGAAAAATACACATTTCAAGGTTCAGAAGATTTGGTGGTAAGTATGTGAGGGAAACGATGTATAGTGAGTTTGACTTCATTTATATTCCTGCTCTCTCATTCATCAAACCATCATACAGTAATGCTTTTGACACCCATTATACAACATGAAGGATGTGTCTCAAATGGCACTCTATTCCCTACATAGTGCATTACTTTTGACGAGGGTCAATAGGGCTCTGGTCAAAAGTAGTGCACTATGTAGGGAATAGGGTGCCATTTGAGACGCAAACAAAGTGTGGGCACATCAGAGCTCAGTTGTCCTCTGAAAAGGAGCGTTCTTCTCATCATTAGACTCTGGTAAAGGTTGTTATCATCCTAATAAGGAAAGCTTTTGCTTTTCTAAGAGCCCCCACAACTATAGGGTATCTATAACATGAAGTACAATTTCAAGGTCTGTTGGTTCCTAAGCACAGCTAAAAAGGAAAAAGCATTCCGCCCCCATATTCATAGCATTGTATGTTTGTAAACCCATAATAAGTCAGTCACAATGAAGTTGGATTTGTAAAGCCATTCCAATAATATTATTCAAATTGCTGTTTTACAATACCGTATACAGGCAAACCCCAACCCATAAAAGGGAATCATTAAATGATAGTGTTCAACTTGAAACTGGAGAGGAAAATTGAGCAGTATGCAGAGAGACTCCTGTTCAAGATGGAGGACGTTCATATTCATTTTGCTCAATATTTATTAATACACAATAGGGGGAAATCCTCAAACTTTAATGTTGCAGGAATATACGGTATAACCTACAGTTGAAGTCGGAAGTTTACATACACAAGTCTGGTTCATCCTTGGAAACAATTTCCAAACACCTGAAGGTACCACGTTCATCTTTACAAACAATAGTATGCAAGTATAAACACCATGGGACCACGTAGCCGTCATACCGCTCAGGAAGGAGACGCGTTCTGTCTCCTAGAGATGAACGTACTTTGGTGCGAAAAGTGCAAAGGGTGTTGCTTGCAAGCTGAAGAACACCATCCCAACCGTGAAGCACGGGGGTGGCAGCATCATGCTGTGGGGGTGCTTTGCTGCATGTGGGACTGGTGCACTTCACAAAATAGATGGCATCATGAGGAAGGAAAATTATGTGGATATATTGAAGCAACATCTCAAGACATCAGTCAGGAAGTTAAAGCTTGGTCGCAAATGGGTCATCCAAATGGACAATGACCCCAAGCATACTTCCAAAGTTGTGGCAAAATGGCTTAAGGACAACAAAGTCAAGGTATTGGAGTGGCCATCACAAAGCCCTGACC